AGCCGGGCATGGTGGTGCATGCCTGTAGTCCCAGCTACTCGGGAGGCTGAGGCAGGAGGATCGCTTGAGCCCAGGAGTTTGAGGTTGCTGTGAGCTGTGATGATGCCACTGCACTCCAGCCTGGGCAACAGAGCAAGACCTCAAAAAAAAAAAGAAAAAGAAAAAATCTAGGGAGCCTTAAAGCATCCTCGATCCTAGCCTGTCCCTGGAACAATCGTTTATTTGTCTGTCTGGGAGCATTTTCTGCAAAAGGCATCCTTCCCCGAATCTTGCCCCCACGTTAGTCCAGTGACCATCCCGTGGGCCTCCGCCCCCATCACTTTAACGCAGGGTCAGTAAACAGTTTCTGTGAAGGGCCAGATAGTGAATAGTTTGGTGTCTGGGCTGTGGGGTCTCGGTTGCAGAGACAGCTCAGCTATTGAGTGGGCGCGGCTGTGCGCCAATAAGCCTGTGTTATGCACACCAAAATGTGAATTTCATGCCATGTCCATGTGTCATGAAATACGATTCTCCACTTCAAAATGTAAAAACTGCACTTTCCCAGTAAATTAACCCTGTTTACCTCTCCTGGCACCAGGGCTGATCACGCCGTAGAAAGTTCTGCCCATCTTATAGGTAGGAAGAGGCCCCACGTCCACTTGCTGTGCTTTTGTTTGAGCTCTTTTTGTTTATTTTTTAATCTATTTGACATTCTTTCAGTGGCTTGTCTATTTGTGGCCTTTGGCTGTTTTTATGGGATACTGTCTTCTTTTTTTTTTTTTGATATCATCATAGCTCACTGCAACCTCAAACTCCTGGGCTCAAGCCATCCTCCTGCCTCAGCCTCCCGAGTAGCTGGGACTACAGGCACTCACCACCACACCGGCTAATTTTTCTATTTTTGGTAGAGACGGGGTCTCGCTCTTGCTCAGGCTGGTCTCGAATTCCTGGGCTCAAGCGATCCTCCCATCTCGGCCTCCCAGAGTGCTGGGATTACAGGCGTGAGCCACCGCACCCGGCTGGGATATTGGCTTTTTCCTTGTTGATTGGATTTGATTTTTACATCTTAAAGACGTTGGTCCTCTGTCTGCCTGGCCTCCTGTGGCTGAGTGGGGAGGCGGGCGCTGACTTAGCGTGGAAGGCCTGGCGCTCCCAGCCTGGCGGGAGGAATGTGCTTCTTGGCAGCTCCGGCTCAGGGCACTGAGGGTGGTCAGAGCAGGCTCCAGCCTCAGGGTCAGTGACACGTCCCTGTTGGTGCAGAAGAGCCAGTCGGAGGGGTGAGGCAGTGGCATGTGAGAAGGCCCAGAGGCAGCAGTGAATTCAGGAGGTGTCAGGTGGGGTCCACGTGCCCAGGGACAAGCTGGGCCCTCTCCAAGGGTGACAGGAGGGGCAGACCCCCAGAGTGCGCTCTGACCTCTTCCCTCTCCCACTGCGCAGCCAGCAGAAGACGGAGCTGCCGGTCACAGAGAACGTGCAGACGATCCCACCTCCATACGTGGTCCGCACCATCCTTGTCTACAGCCGCCCGCCCTGCCAGCCCCAGTTCTCCTTGACGGAGCCCATGAAGGTGGGTGAAGCCGGGAGAGGGAGGGAAGCTTGCAGCCATCACGAGAGTGGTTAGATATCAGGAGGGACTTCCCAACCACAGGAGCAGGTGTGCCTAGAGGCAGTTCTCAGACTGTAAGGCAGAACCTGGGGAATTGTCATGGGCCATGGGGTGACCCAAGTGCCAAAGGCTGGTGTCCTTTTCTTCCCTTGTAGAAAATGTTCCAGTGCCCGTATTTTTTCTTTGACGTTGTTTACATCCACAATGGCGCCGATGAGAAGGAGGAGGAGATGAGCTGGAAGGTGAGGGACGGGCAGGTGTGGGCGGCAGGTGGTTGCAGATGGGATGTTGCAGGCCCAGCCCGCCCTGGGCTTGTGGGTCTCTGTCTACATTTGGTAGTCCTGGAGCCTTGGCTCAGCTGGGTCATGGTCATTCATTCATTCAACAACCATTTCCCATGTCTATGGGAGCTAGTGGTGACTAATGAGGTGGGAGCCATTGGGACAGTGGCCCAGGGAGCTTGTTGGGTGCTGCCCACCTCATCCCAAACATCCTCTGTTTCTCTTTCTTCCTGTCCTTGCCCTTGCTGTGCCCTCTGCCTAGAGCACCCTTCCCTCCTGGCCTCAGGCTCCACTGGCCCCTGACATCCCCGCCCCAGACTAGCTGCGTGGCCTGGAGTGGGCCATTTACTTCTCCGAGCCTCAGTTTACCCAACTGGGGGAGTTGAGACCAGTTCCTACTCATAACTTAATGTCCAAATCAGACACCCTCCCCCTGAGAAGCCTCTGCTCCTCAGAAAAGATCAGCGTGGGGCCGGGCGTGTGTCTGCATTCAACTGTCTCTCCACATGGGGGGCTCCTAGAGTGTCAGGACTGAGACCTATTGGGGTCCCTAACACTGGGTGGGTGGTAGGGAATGTGTATTGAATGCATGAATGTTTTCTGCCTGGCAAACTCCTCTTCACCCTTCAGAACCCATCCTAGATGTCCCCTCCTCTGAGAAGCCCTCCAGGGGCAGGGAGGGCCAGTTGGGGGTAACCCTCACCTGAACAGCTCCTCACTGCCCACCCTAGGACATGTTTGCCTTCATGGGCAGCCTGGATACCAAGGGTACCAGCTACAAGTATGAGGTGGCACTGGCTGGGCCAGCCCTGGAGTTGCACAACTGCATGGCGAAACTGTTGGCTCACCCACTGCAGCGGCCCTGCCAGAGCCATGCCTCCTACAGCCTGCTGGAGGAGGAGGATGAAGCCACTGAAGTTGAGGCCACCGTCTGAACCATCCCTGTACATCTCAACCTCCTCATAAGGTGAAACCATTGGCCTGGAGTACTGGTTCTCAAACTGGGCTCTATGGAACCCCTGGGGGGCCCTGGGAGGAAACTAAGATTGCAGGAGGCATCCCAGGAACTCTGGATACCCCGCCCCCCCATGTTTCCCAGCCCACACCGACTCCTGGTTTGTCAGTTGTAATTTTTGTTATTCTTTTTGTTTTTTGTCATCAAAATAAAAATCCGAATATTGCTAACCCAGGCCCAAAACAATCACTTTGTGTTAATTGGGATCATCTTGGTTCCGAGTGACAGCCACTGAGCAAGGTGAACCGCTTCTATTGTGGATGAAAAGCCAAAGTTGCAGCTTCAGGCTCTGCTGTATCCAGGTGCTAGGACAACGTGGCCAGTGGGCGGGTGCTGTAGTACGGACCAACAGTTCCATCAGGAAACACAGTGGGTGCCCCCGGAGGACGGGAAACGTACCAGAGGGCCCCAGTTCTACCATCTTCCTGGGTAATGAGCGATTGTGAAAAAAGCTTACCAGCTGGATTTTCTCAGTTCCGTGTAAAACAAAAATAGCTTTATTGAGCGACCGCTCTTCCTCCTTGTGAGCACTTACCGGTAACCTACTGTGTGCCAGGCCCTCGTGCTGAAACGCCTGTGCAACCCTCACGCCTGCCTAATTAGGGTTATCTCCCATTTTGCAGATGGGGACACTGAGGCCCTCAGAGCTCCAGCCCTGTGAGGTAATGGACTCCCAGCTCTGCGGGACACCGCCTCTAATCGTAGCTCCGCCGCCAACAGCAGGGCGCGTTCACTTTGCCAGGTTTTGAGATGAGATAATGGCACACCCGGCGGCCTCTCCCCGCCCGGGCACCTATCGGTGGCCCCAGACCCTGCCTGAGTGCCAGTGAGTGTCGCAGGCCAGGCCGGACACTGAAGCTCCGGATCCAGGATGTGGAAGCCGAGGCGGCGCGGGTCATCCTGGCTGGGGACCCTGCGCTACGCCGAGGAGCAGCCACCCCGGCGGAGGGGCGGGGCGGCGCGTGCGCACAAGGTCGCCGCGGGAAATTGGAAATCGGCCTGCCAGGCCATGGGGACCTGGCACCGCCTGGACATGGGCGCGGCGACTGGCCTGGCACGCCGGCTGCGGGCGGCGCTGCTGGAGGAGGAGCCGCGGTAAGGGCGGGGCTCAGGGCGGCCCGGGGCGGAGGGGCTGTGGTCGGGGTCCACTCTGACCCTCGGTTCCAGGGCCGTTGAGGAACTGCTGCGCCGTGGCGCGGACCCCAACCTGGTGCTCGTGGACGGCGCGGCGGCCATACACTTGGCGGCCAGAGCCCGGTACCCGCGCGGCCTGTGCTGCCTCCAGGCCCTGCTGCGCGGAGGCGGGGACCCCAACACTCGGTGAGGCGGGGCCTGGGCTCAGGGCGGGGTCTCCCGAAGCCGAGTTCTGGTAGTCCAGGAGAGGGCACCCGGTGGTCTGGTGGCGGGACCTCAGGACCGAGGGTGGCCTTGGGGAGGGAGCCTGGGGGCAGGGCTCTAAGGGCGGGGGCCAGGGCTCTAGGGAGGCGCACCCGGACCAAAGTGGGATCAAGGGTTCGGATCTTGAAGCGGGGATGAAAGCTCCAGGGTCAGAGTCAGAGGTTCGGGTCCCGGCCCGAGGGCACAGGATCTAGGTCCGAGGGCCGTGTCCCAGGCTGGAGGGCGGATATTGGGGGAAGGGCCGAGGCTTGGGGTCCCTGCTTGGAGGCGGACGCGGCAGTGACCCCTCCTGCGTACCTGCCCCAGATCTGCAGAAGCGCTGACGCCGCTGCACGTGGCAGCCGCCTGGGGCTGTCGCCGTGGCCTGGAGCTGCTGCTGAGCCAAGGAGCGGACCCGACGCTGCGCGACCAGGTTGCGGGCTCCCGGCTGCAAAGACCAGGAGGGGCTGGAGGAAGGGAGGGAGCGAAGCGGGGCGGGCGAGGCCTCGGGCTCCCCCTGCTGACCGCACCTCCGCAGGACGGACTCCGGCCGCTGGACCTGGCCCTGCGGCAGGGGCACGTGCATTGCGCGCGCGTCCTTCGGGAACTGGACGCGCGGACCCGGACCCGGACCCGGGCAGAGACCCAAGAGCCTGAGCCCGAGCCCGAGCCTGAGCCTGGCAGTGAGTAGGGCCTGCGTGGCCGCGGGGGCTTCACTTCTGGACCAGTCTCTGGCATCTCTGGCTGGTTCTGAGTGGCCCACGGCCACTGTCTCTGGCTGGCCCTCTCTGCCTCTGACACTCCCTTCTCCTTGTGACTCCAATGTCCTCTTTCTGTCCGATTCCCGTCTCTCCCGTCTGACCCCAACGCTCGTCTGCAGGTCTAGGCCTCTCTGGACCCCCCGACCGGACGCTGGACTCGGCAGCACTGCAGACGCAGCTGGGCAGAGGCGATGGCAGCCACGTGGGCCTGGAGGCTGGCCCGGGGTCCCCCAGCCTTCCTGCTTCCCTTGGGGTCGCGGACAAGGATAGGAGCTCAGCGTCCCCACTAGGGCGCTGGGACTGCAGCTCAGATGAGTCCTTCGTGACCGCTGTTGAGGTCTCTGGAGCTGAGGACCTAGCCCCGGACACTTCCCCCTGGGCTGGGTCATTGCCCCAGACCAGGCAGGGACTCCCGCTTGGTGTCCGTCCCACCCAGAGGGTACCAAGGTCTCTGGACGCCCCGCCGCTGGCACATGTAGCCCAGATTGTGTGCAGCGAGGCAGAACTGAATGCCGATCTACAGGCCCTGACTCTGACCTCGCCAGATGCTGCCAGCTTCCCGTCCTCCTCCTCCACGTCTCTCCGGGATGGGGGCCCAGCTGGTAGTCCCCCACAGACACTGCCCCCTGAACCCTCTGCCTTCCACATCCAGACAGATGACCAGACATCTCTTGATAGTGGCGTGGCTGCCCTCTGGCTGACAGAGGATGAGGCGAGCTCCACAGATGACAGGGATCCTGTCCCCTGTTGCTGGCACCTGCCAGTCCCCGCTATGTCTGACTCAGAGCTGCTGCAGGGACCTCGGACACTTGGCAAGAGTCCTGGCCCCGTCACACCCTTCCCGCGGCGGTACTACCTCCAACGGCTGGAAGAAGCCCAGGTGGCTCCTGGTTAGTCTCTCCTGGGCGTCCAGAGTCCAGGGAGCCTCCAGGGGTCCCCAGAGACCTCAGCTCTCAGCCCCACTTCCCTTCTCATCCCTGAGAATCACTCTTCCTCCCTCTCCCTTGACTCAGTTTCTCCTCCCAGGCCCAGACTTCTCAGGGCACAGCCCAGAACTGGCCGAGGCCCTGCGGACAGGCCGGATCTCTCACGCCCAGGCAGATGAAGATGCGCTTGCCCAGCAGTTTGAGCGCCCAGATCCCACCAGGAAGTGGCGGGAGGGGGTTGTGAAGTCCAGTTTTACGTATCTGCTGCTGGACCCCAGGTACGCAGGGCAAGAAAGACCTAGAAGTGGGAGCTAAAAACTTTGGGGATTGAGTCTTATTTGCTGTGTGTTCTTAGGAAAAGGACTGGCCCTCTCTGATCATCAGCTTTACAAAAGGTGGTTGGATGGAATTTAAGCTGCTGGGTGTCTAAGGAACAGCCACTCCTCTCTGGTGCTATAAAGTGGGGGTCATTTGACATGGGTTCAAGTTGTTCTGTGACTTTGGGGACTGTCTCTGGGGCCACTTTTGTCACTTGTCCCTCTCTGAACCACCCCCTTCATCCAGGGAAACTCAGGACTTGCCAGCCCGTGCCTTCTCACTGACCCCAGCTGAGTGTCTTCAGACTTTTGTCCGTGCCATCTTCTATGTGGGCAAGGGGACACGGGCCCGGCCGTATGTCCACCTTTGGGAGGCCCTTGGCCATCATGGGCGGCCAGGAAAACAGGTATGAGGACAAGGATCAGGGCCCTGCAGGGGCAGTCAGGACATGGGTACAGAAAAGAGGGGCTTCTGGGACGGACCCCTGACTCTGTCCTGGCTCCCTCAGGCCTGCCCCAAGGTACGCCAGATTTCAGACATCTGGGCCAGTGGTCGCGGGGTCATCTCCTTGCACTGCTTTCAGCACGTGGTTGCCGTGGAGGCTTATACGCGGGAGGCATGTCTTGTGGATGCGCTAGGTGGGTACCTGGCATGTGGATTGGGGGGGGTCACATGAGGGGCATTTGATCTACCAGTTCCCTTACCCCTTCCCTGTCAAGGCTGTACATTTATTCAGTGAGCAATTATTGAGCACCACCTGTGTACCTGCACATGCACATATTTTGCTCCATTGGTTTATCCCTGCTCGAGTGCAATACACAGTGGGTTCGCTGTTACATACTTCTGCTGGGGGCATATGTCCCCAAGGCTGCCCATGTGATCCCACCCCCAATCTCTCCAGGGATCCAGATGCTGGCCAACCAGAAACAAGGGCACTGCTATGGAGTGGTGGCAGGCTGGCCACCCGCTCGGCGCCGGCGCTTGGGGGTACACCTGCTGCACCGTGCCCTCCTTGTCTTCCTGGCTGAAGGCGAGCGAGAGCTGCGACCTCAGGACATCCAGGCCCGCGGCTGAGTGCTGGGGAATCGGCCATCCAGCCTGGGTAGAGATCAAGGAGTATGAATGTCCCAGCTGCCCCTGCTGAGAGCTCCCGTCTCTGCTTTCAGAAGGCACGGGCACGTGTGTGTGTGTGTGTGTGTGTGTGTGTGTGTGTGTGCGCGTGCAGGGAGTGCCTGGGCAGATCCCCCTCAGGCTGAGGGAGGCCTTTGTTACAGAGAGGTAGGGCGCGCCCTGTCGTGGGAGGAAGACAAGTGGGGAACCAGAAGATGCCTTGGCCGTTTAGTCCTGTCTGTGTGGATGGAGTCCACTTTAATCTCCCAGACACAGGCACCCACATTATGGGATGGACTGGGTGCTTCCTTAGCTACACTCGGAGCATCCGTCCAGCTCAAGAGCCAGGTTCCCTGCTTCCCAGCTGTGGGACCTCCAACCAGTGATTTATCTGTCTGAGCCTCAGTGTCCTCAGCTGTATAGTGGGGGCAGGGAGAGGTCCTACCCTCTGGCAGTCATTGTAGGGATTAAACGAGGTCATGTGGGTAAAGTGTGTGGCTCAGAGATCACCACTGAGGCCCGGATGGAAAAATCCCCATGGAGGAAGGGGAGGTGGGCAGGGATTTCCAGGGACCGCTTGTGTGATGTGTAGGCAGGGCCAGGGAGGTCATGGGGTGGGGTAGATGTAAGAGACCAGCCCCCCTCAGGGTCGCTGGTGTTGCTTCTCTGAACCTGTTTCTTCCACTATAAAATGGGATTAACAGGCCAGGCATGGTGGCTCACGCCTGTCATCCTAGCACTTTTGGAGACCAAGGCGGGAGGAGCGCTTGAGGCCAGGAGTTGGAGACCAGCCTGGGCAACACAGCGAGACCCTGTCTCTTAAGAAAAACGAAAAGTTTAATAACCAGACTTCCCAGCCATACTATGCGACTTCAGGCTATTCATATGTTCAAAGAGCTTCAGTAAAGGCCAAGCCGCCATCCTGGTGAGATGTTGCTACTGTGATGATAGTGGTCCACTTTGTGGGGGATGGGGGACATTCAAGTTTCTAGAAGTTGCTTCTTCAAAGGGCCCAGTGGGCTTAAGGAGTTAGAGAGATCCACCGCCTCATTGGCTTCCTGTCCTGCCCGTCTTCACAGCTCAGCCAACCAAGTCGCGCAGGGGGCGGGGTGTGGCCGGGGCGGGGATTCCACCTGCCTGGATTCCTGCCCTGCCGCGCTCTCAGCTGCTCTGGGGAACGACAGTTGCGATTAGAGGCGCGGCCTCTGGGGTGGGTCTGGGCTCTACCTGGTGACTGAGTGGAAGAAAACTCTCTGAGCTTCCGTTTCCTCGTGTAAAACAAGGAGGCCTCGCACCTGCCAGTCTTCTGAGAAAGCGGTAGCAGTTCCCTTCATCAGAAGATTGGCGACTGCGTGCCAACGCCCGTGGAATGTACGAACAGTCATTGGCAAAGACTCCAGAGACCCCAAAAGATTCAAAAGGGATGGAATTTGTCTAACACAGGGATGCCCGACCTTGGCCTTAGTAACACCTGGGGCTGGGTTATTCTTCGCGGGGGGCGTGTCCTGTGCCTTGCGGAGTATTGGAGCAGCATCCCTGACTCTACCCGCCGGATGCCACTGGCACCCGCCACCCTACCCTCCGCGGTGGCAATCAAGAGTCTCCCGAGTTGTCAGCGGACACGATTGCCCTGGCTTGCCGGGCTGGTCTGGTCTAAGGTTGGGCTTGGCTCGCAGTGGGGTGGGGACAGGAGATTCGGTTCTGAGGTGATGGCCCCTTGGTTTCGTCGTGCCGTGCACCTACCTCACTTTACTATCTTCGGTTTGGAATTTAGGTTTTAGGTTCGGTTCAGTTTCGTTTCATTAAGTAAAATGAAATTTAGAGGAGCAAATGCACGTCTTTGGGACAGCAAAATCTTTCAGCCAGACACAAAAGGGAAAGACAGATTTGGTGGTTTCAAAAGAAAAACGATCTTCACAACAAAGATGACCCTAAACCAAGTTGAAAGGTAACATTGGGATAGTAATGGGCCAGGCGCAGTGGCTCACGCCCCTAATCCCAACACTTTGGGAGGCTGAGGTGGGAGGCTTGCTTGAGACTGGGAGTCTGAGACTAGCCTGGGCAACATAGCAAGACCCTGTCTCCACTAAATAAATAAACTGGGATAGTAAGAGGCACTGACTTGCCGGGTGGGGTTGGGTGAGTGGGATTCAATGAACAATGGGCATCAGGCACTCCACACAGTGGGCACTGAATTATGACAGTTCCAATCCCATGTAAGGTGTTTGCTGACCTTCACCTCAACCTCAGTTGGACCTTCTCGTCCCTGCCAGGGAAGGGCTCACCCCTTGGTAAGTTGCCTCCCGCCCTGCAGATACTGCCCATATAGCCCCTGCATTCTGAGGTGGGGGGCATGGGGGACTCAAAGCAAGCCTGGATCCCGGACGTTCTCAAAGTCAGCCCTGGCAGGGAGGCACTAGGATCAGCCCAGTCTGCAGACAGGAAAACTGAGGCTCAGGGTGGTGAAGGTCCTGCTCTGAGGTGACCAAGCACAGGTCTGGAGACTCCGATTGTCACTTCTTTTTATTGAGTTACAAGTTGAGATGTGCAAGTTTGGTGGCGCCAACCCTCCCATCCCTCCCCGCCTCCCCCCGCCCCTCCCCCCGTGGGCAACAATAGCTCCCAGCGCCTAGGAATGGGGGATAGGGAGGGTCTGGGGCAATGGGACGGGCCCCAAGGGTCCCTGCGGGGCTCGGGGGTCGCAGGACGAAGCATGGCTGACACGGATGACAGAGCGGGGTGGGGGGACCTGCCTCGGCCCGTGCCTTTGGCTGGAGAGGGAGGAAAGAGGGACTTCTGTACAAGGTCATCTGCGGGGATCCTGGCTGCGGCCCCGAAACACCGATGGGCCTTGCGGGACAGAAGCAGAGAGCGGAGTGTCCACTCGGCTCCCTGAGGTGCCGCACACTGCCCAGCCGGCCTGGGGGCGTCTCCCCGGCCTGGCCCCGCCCACCGGAGCGAACGGCCCGCCCAGGTGGTCCCCGCTGCAGACCTGGTGCCCTCCCGGCCTCATCTTCCTGTGGCTCTGCTCACCAAGCGATGCCCCGGCCGCCTGGCGGCTACTTCTTCTCCTCTGCAGGCGCGGGCAGGGGCTCCGGCAGAGCCCTGGGTTCGGGCTCGGGCTCGGGCTCGGGCTCCCAGAGCAGGAACTCGTGGAGCAAGGTGTTGACCGTCTCCGGGGCATTCCAGCATCACCATGTGGCTGCCTTCATCTATAAGCTTCAGGAAGGCCAGGAGCAGGATCTGCAGGGGACATGGGCTCAGGATGGGCGAGGGCAGGACGGCGGGGCGAGGGGCCAGGCTTCGCTGGGACTCCCCCCACCATTCATGCATGGCCCACGGCACTGGGAAGTCCCTCCTGTAGTCTACCCTAATGCCCCCAGTTCCACCCAAGGGGCGGCTGGAGGATGGTCTGTCATCCTGCTGCAGCCCATCTAGGTGTCATTCATTCAGCATTTATTCAGTGCCTACCCGTGCCTACAGGAGGACTTCTCAACCTCAGCGCGGCTGACGTTTGGTACTGGACCGTCCTGCCCTGTGCACTGCGGGATGTGCACTGCCTCAACCACTAGATGCCAGTAGCAGTAAACCTCGCATAGACATAATATGACAACTTAAAATGTCTCCAGACATTGCCACATGTCCCGGGGGCAGAGTCATCCCTGGGTGGGTGAGAATCTCTGAGCTAGATACATAGAGACAGACAAGGCCTTTTGTGCCAAGGCAAGATTTCTCAGCCTTGGCCCTAATGACATTTGGGGCCCGCTCATTCTTTGCTGGCGTCTGTCCTGTGCGTTGTAGGACGTTCAGTAGCATCCCTGGCCTCCACCCAGCACATGCCAGTAGTACCCTGTACCACCTCAGTTGCGACAACCTAAAATGTCTCTAGACATTGCCAAGTGTCCCCCAAGGGCAGAACCGTCCCTGGTTAAGAACCACCAGAGCTATTCTAAGGCCTAAGGATCCCAAGACCCTTTCTTGGGAGTTTCTAATCTAAAGACCTCCTGGTCCCCCTCTTCCAGAGGTTATTGGTTCCTTACACAAATCCCCAGCTGTGAAGAGAGGCTTCCACCTGAGGTGGGCATGGTGCATAATCGTTAACACCTGTCCAGGGCAGCGCTGCTGTGTGGATCCTACCACTGACTCTAGATCTAACGCTCCCTTTGCCTGGAGTGAGAGCCACACCTAGAGACCACGCCCATCGTAGAGGCCACGCCCCCTGGGCTGCCCGCGGGGAATCTGGGCGTGTGGCGGCCCCTGGGTACCCGCCCCTACCTCTGCCCTGCGCTGGTCTTCCTCCACTGGCACAAACTTGTCGTGCATGCCGTGGACGAGCAGGACGGGCACGGTGAGCTCGGCGTGGTAGACTTCGTCACCCTCGGGCCAGTACTGGCCACTCATCATGGCCCGTAGAACGAAGGATGACACGTTGAACGCCTTGCCCTCCTTAAGCAGCTGCTTCTCCTTGGCCCCTTGGCGGGCAAAGCCGGCCCTGGTAGTAGGGAGGCACCGCTGGAGCCCCTCATGCCAGCCTGACCTCCAGGGGTGTCCCCAAGTGTCAGTCCCAGTCCCAGCCCCAGTCGTACAGCCTCCCCTCCCACCCAACTCAGGGGCACTCACTTGAGGAAGCTCCAGGCCAGGCAGGGTGACAAGCAGTGCAGGACGCAGGTGGGCATGTTGAAGATTGAGCAGAAGCTTGGCTCCAGCGCCGTGGGGCCCCCACCATTGATCATGATCACCTTGTGCACCAGGTCTGGGTACTCGTGTGCCAGGAATGTGCAGAAGGAGACGCTGCCCGGAGTGGGTGGGGCGGCAGGGAGGATTGAAAGGTGGTGGTCAGCAGAATACAGGCAGTGAGGGGGTTAATGCCCTCCCCTCACCCCAGAGGCAGGTTCCTGAAGGTCAAGATTCTTCTTCTGGGGTCCATGGGCACCTGATGGGGTGAGGGATGGGTGGGGCATCTCGAATGGCCCAGAACTGTGGAATCGTGAGCTAGAGTGTTGAGGGTGGAATTTATTTTGAAGAGAGGATCTGGATCCAGAACTTTCCTCAGATTCTTAAAGTCACCTTGACCCCCAAAGGGGTAAGAAGGACTTATTACCAAGTGTTAGGAAAGCAATCTGATCAAACAAAGCCTTCTGGCTGCCTTGAGGAGGTTACTATTTCCTGTGTATCCCTTCCCTTGTAGGATCTTTTCCTGTCTGCCTCTAGGTATGACATACCCGCTTGCCTAATGCAAGGTGGAAGGGCAGAGCCTGAAGAGCCCCCAAGTCAAGTTCTTCATTCCCTCTAAAGTAGGAGTCAGCAAACTATGGCCTGGGGGCTAGTTGCTAGTTTTTGTAAGTACAGTTTACAGTTGTGGAGGTTTGAAAAATGTTTTGTAAATACACAGCCATGCCTGGCTGCTTTTGCACTACAACGGCAGAGTTGTAAAGTTCCAACAGAGACTGTATGGCTTGCAAACTTAAAATATTGACTATCTGACCCTTTAAGAAAAGGTTTGCAAACTCCTGCTGTAAAGTGGGACCTGACTGCCAGTGACTACATGCCCTTGGGCAGGTTGCCTAACCTCTCTAAGCTTCAATCTTCACATCTGTGAAGTGATAGTATGCTGACCTCATATGTAGTTGGATGTTCACTTAACTAGAGGAATCGTTTATCATATATATCAACTTTTGGGGATGTTATCATACAAACAAGTAAGAGCTATGTTATGTCTCAGCCTGGATTCCTTTCTTTTACATACTTATGTAATTTAATTCCTTTTCCTGTCTAATTGCATGGGCTACAATCGCTAAAACAGTGGTTCTTAACCTGTCTGGCTAATCTTATCTTGCCTTTCTTCCTAGGTAAAGGAGCAAATGGGGCCAGGTGGCAGTGGCCAGGCCCCCAAGGCCGAAAGCCTTCCACAGAGGAAATTTTAGATGGTATTATCAGCCCTTCGAGGAGAATGAATTACAGCAACCTATGCCTTTGCAAGTGCGTAGAATTTACAGGATTCCAACTAGTCTTTCCAGACTGCACAGGGATCTCCAGGGCAGCCAATTTGTGAATTTAGTGTAAGGCAGTGGTTCTCAGTGAGAGGTAATTCTGCCCACCAGGGGACATTTGGCAATGTCTGAAGATTTTTGTGATGGTCGCCATCAGCACTAGATGATTGTGCTAGTGGCATCTAGTGGGCGGAGGCCGAGGATGCTGTTAAACATCCTATAGCCCCTCACAGAAAAGAATTAGCTGGCCCCAAATGCCAGTGGTACCAGCATTGAGAAACGCTGCTTTAAAACAATGTGAACACCAGCAACAATGACAGGAATCCCTGTTTGGTTGCAGATGTTAATGGAATTTTTCAAGGAGAAAAATCAGCATTTTGTGACTGGGTGTCCAGTCCCTGTTGGCCCCTCCCCTCGTCTCCACCCTGTGCCAGCCAGGGTTTGCTTACCCGTAGGAATGACCAATGAGCACGTTCCGCTTCTTGGCGTAGCGCTTGAAGATAGCCCGCATGTCCTCAGCTAGTGCATAGAAGGTGTAGGCTGCGGCCACCTGCGCCCCAGGCCTGGCCTGCCAGGTCAGGTGCCACCACCTCGTAGCCTAGGCGCACAAAGAAGTCCAACTGCTCCTTCCAGATGGCCAGGGAGCTGCTGACACCATGGATGAAAAAGAGCACCACGTCGGCCTGGGCGCCCTTGCAGCTAGTGATGTGCTTCTCACAGTCAATGTGGATGGTCCTCTTGGGGCGTCGGGCTCGCCGCCGCCTCCCACTGCTGCCATTGCCACTGCTGGCACTTCCTGGGCCCCAGAGGCCATCTCTGCCCACGGGGTCAGCCAGCTCCACCTCCAGGGCGGCCGGCGGCTCTCCGGAGCCGTTCTGCCCGTGCAGGAGGTCAGCTCGGGGTGCCCGGCCAAGGTTCTCCACCAGTAACCGCCCGTTGCGGTACACAGTGATCCGGGACTGGCCGTGGACCAAGCCAGACCTGTCCCCCTGGGCAGCATCTTGTGGCGATGGCGGAGGTGGGGTGGGGGCTGGGGCGGGTCCAGCGTGCTTCACCTGCAGCACGCGACCAGGTTTGACCTCCACAAAGGTGTAGCCATCACTGGACTTGACACTCTCCAGCGGCGCTACCGCGTTGGGGGGCGCGCCCAGCAGGCAGCAGAAGATACCGTCCGTCACCCCGGTTAGCATGGTGTGTCCTGTGAGTGGGGGCAGCAGCCAGCTCAGGGGCCATCTATCTAAATGGGACCCCTCTACCCCTGCAGAACCCACTCCCTGCACCTGGGTCAGGTGAACCACACTGGGAGGCTCCTTTTAGGTTCCAGTTTGGGGAGTAGAGCCAGCCAGCCAAGGCACCAGGATGTTCTGTTGGAGCAGTGCCTTGGTGGTGGCCTGCCACCCTCCTGGGCCAGCCTAGTCTATCCTCAGAGGGAAGGACCTAGTCCCACGGGGTGTCCAGAGAGAAAGTGGTGGAGTCCCGGGGGCTTCCCAGAGGAGGGGACATTGTGACAAATGTGGCCCAGCCCTGAAGACACTCCCCCCCAAGCTGGAGTTCATACCAGTATGGCCTTGTAAGCCCCTTCGTCCCTGCGTACATGTGCTCTTTCAGTAACTCACATATTCTGAGGGCCTCCTGGGCATCTAAACGGTGCAAATCTCAGCGAGCCCCCAACCCAGGCCTTTGGCTCTGAAACTGACCTAGGAAAGATGAGGCCTTGGGGGAGGGGCTTGGGGACTGAGCCCCCGGAAGGCCTTGCCCAGCTCCCAAAGACCGGGGTAAGCTGGGCCTGTTTCACAGAGGAGCAGGCTGAGGCCCAGACAGTTTGGGAGGAAGCTTCTGTGTATACCCCCTACTTAGCACCCTGGGTTCTGGGGTCTGCCACTCGAGCCCCCAGCAGTGGAGAGGAGGATGGAGAAGTCAAGGCCCTGGCTGGGGGCCTCCAGGCCTCCATCCCACTCCCTGGGCCACCCCCGCCCCCGTGTCCATGGCAACCACAGGCTGTTACATAACTCAAGGGGGATGCCCGCGCAGTGCACCCCCATTGTCTAGGGCCTGGAGATAGGACCAACCCCACAGCCCCCTAGCTTTGGCGCCGCTAGGGTAAGGCACGCCAAAGGCTGGCCCCGCAGTGGCCCCAGACGTACTGGAGGGGAAGCGGGCCATCCCCGACCTCGAATGGGGCCCTAATCCCCCGATTGCGGAAGGCAGCGCAAATGCACCGCGCAAGCCCCCGCTTCCCAGAGCCTGGCGCCCGCCTCCTGGGTGCCCGTCATCCCTGCGGGGTTCGAGGCCACTGGGGCTCCGTGGCTTCCTAGGAGCCCGAACGCGGTCTGTGCGGACCGCCCCTCCCGCCCCGCCCCGAAGTGGAGGCCCTGGGGGCCTCGATCTCCCCTCCTGGGGCCCACTTCCAGCTCACCTCATCGAGGGCCGCGGGCCCGGGTCGGGGCGGAGGGGTCCCGGGCGGAGGAACCAGCGTGCGCCTGCCAGTGCCGTTTACATGGTGGCGCGGGGTTAGGGCTGGCGCGTCTTCGCCGGCGGGCGCGGGCCCCGGACGGTCAGTGCAGGGGCATCCCGCGGCCGTGGAAGGAGCCGGCCCTTTAAGTCCCTCCCCGAGGGGGCGGGGCCGCAAGCCGACAGGCGGGCACCTCGACCTATCGTAACTGCGGGCTGACCTGGCCTAGTTAGTTGTCCAATCAGAAGCGGCAGTTGCGGGATGGAGGCGGGCTCTGGGAGCAACGGGCCTCTCCCCTTTTAGGGGCTCACCGAGGTGGGGGGAGGGATTGGGCTTGGCCCAGAGCCGAGACAGGGTTGCAGCCTGGGGTCTGTGGGGCTCCTGGGAGTGGACGGCTGGGGCCCTCTCGCTGCGAATGGGTTTTGCCAGGCAGTCCCTGCCTCTGAACTGCCCAGTCCCCTCCAAACGAAGCCCCCATGCTCCTCTCTGTGTTGACTTTTCCATTCCAGAAGAACAGATTCCCAGATCTTTCCGATATCAGGTGGGGAAACTGAGGCTGATAAAGGGCACAAGGGCAAAAGTCAGGCAAGGGGCAAAGCCGGGACTTGAACCCGCGGCTGTGTGATTCCGAGTCCTGGGAACTGTTATTCGCTAAATCTTTAGACAGAAGTCTTGGAGCTGTGTGTAGTTAAGGAGTTGGAATTTCACAATCAGCCAATTTCACCGATGACTGTCACAACGCCGAGAAGGGCCGGTGGCCAGAGGCAGACGCCCCAGCTCCGTGGGCCGGGCTGAGCCAAGGCAGGCCTCCAGGAGAGCCCAGAGTCAGAGGTCCCAGGGCTTAAATCCAGCCTCTGCCCTTTGCTGGTGTGCGACATTGGGCAAGTCACTTCCCTGAGCCTCTGTTTATTTCTCTATGAAATTAATCCTCTGATAAATTTGTTACACAGGTAAAGCGCTCATCACGGTGTCTTGCATAGAATAAATGCTCTGTATGTTATTGGCATTATTATTACGGTGCTGTTTTGCTAAATGATGGTGCAGGTAGGCTTCAGAGGACAAGGGGTTAACCGCTCCTTGCTGCTCTCCTGCTCCCATCCCCTGGAATTTGCTGCCAGAGCTGGATTAGGTCCAGCCACCCACTCTTGCCTGCTCAGGGCACTCCCTGAAGACTACACAGTTTATTCATTCAGCAAACACTCCCCATAGCCCCTTTGGGCCCACCCCGAGCTGGGTAATGCTGGAGCACTTGTAGGGACTCAGCCCAGGCCTAGCCCTAGAGAGGCCCCTGAGCTGCAGGGGAGAGCCACATCGAGTTAGTTGGGCCAGAGCGGGGGACAGGGTTGAGAGGAGAGGATTTTAAAGGATGGATAGGGGAACACTAGGCAGAGAAGAAGGTGTGGCTGAAATTTAGGATGCCTATGTGTACAGGGCTTTGCATATCTGCTGGAGGAGCTGGGTATTTTCCCTGGGGCAATAGGGGGCCAAGGAGGGTGTGTGAGCAGGGGAGGGGTTCAGTTCTGAGTATCAGAAAATTCTTCTAGGGCCCGGATGGGACAATATCGCCACGGGCAAGCTTGTAGTCCTCCAGTTTTACAGATCAAGAAACTGAACCCTGGAGAGGAGCAGAGACCAACCCAAGGACACCGAGCCAGCTTGAACTCAGGCCTCCTGGGCTTCCTGCCAAGGGGCGGTGACTTGGCTTCGACAGGGGAAAAGCTGCCAGCCAGCTGTGTGCCATCTGCCCCAGCTTCTGCTGGGGGTGGGAAGACCAACCGGTCGCTTCCTGCAGCTGCCACCAGCTGCGCCACGGCCACCTAGGGGCACCCTCTATCGGTAGACGCAAGAAGGAACTGCAGCTCCCAGCAGACCCCGGGACATAAGTGAGAAGGTGCTGATCGCCTGCCATCTAATGGTCAATATGAAGAACTACACCGCCCCAAGGGCACGGACGCTCGCGCCGATGGTGCGCAGGCGTGGAACTACAACTCCGGGCCCCCATGGCCATGTTTCTCCGAGACAGGAGAAACTACATTTCCCAGAAGCCTTTGCCCCGGGGCTCCGGAATCGCTGGCGGCCGGGACTGCGTGACCGGCGGCTGGAGATGGCTTTCTTGGCCGCATCCGTGTTGGGCCCCGCGGGTAGGTCGGCGGCGCTGCTGGGTGGCAGGTGAGTCCTCAGGGGGACCCTTCCCCGAATTTGGGAATAGGGCGGTGTCAGAGGCTGGCGCCAGCTGTTTACCACCCATAAGACCTACCAATGCCTTGCGCATTTATGGAGCGCCTTTTGCTGCCAGGCTCTGCACCGCACACATGGGAAAGCCGAAACTCAGAGGGGTTGAGCGCTGAGGTCAAACAACACCCGGTCTGACCCTTCTCGCCGTCTCTGTGCCTCCGCAGATGGCTCCAGCCCCGGCCTTGGCTGGGGCTCCCGGACACCTGGGGCCTCCCTGCTCTGCAGCAGGCGCGGGGCAGGGCGCGCGGGAACGAGTATCAGCCGAGCAACATCAAACGCAAGCGCAAGCACGGCTGGATCCGGCGCCTGAGCACGCCGGCTGGCGTCCAGGTCATCCTTCGCCGCATGCTCAAGGGCCGCAAGTCGCTGAGCCATTGAGGAGTGCGACGCTGCCAGCGGGACCCCCGTTAAAGCATTTCCCTCACCTCGGACTTTGCCTGGCGCTGTTTTTGCAGGAAGCTGGAAGAACGGGAATAGACTCCGACGAGAGTGCCCTCCAAATTGTGGGGTTGGCCCAGGGGGAGAAGTTTGGATGGGAGTGGAAGTCAGACCTTGTCAAGTCCCTTTTTACGCTTTTTTGAATTACGAAGAATTTCGAACATATGCAACAGACCACAGAATAGTACAACGTATCCCCGTGTACTCAGTACGCAGGTCTATTTGAAGCTGATCTCAGGCATCAGGTTATTTCTTCTGTAAATATTTCAGAATGTATCTCCCCAAGATAAGGGCTCTCTAAAACAATCACAAAACTTATCACACCCAAAAGAATTATTAATAATTTTGAAATATTAAATGTCTCATACATGTTCAAATTTCCATTTATCTTATATGTGCTGTAACTTTCCCAGGTCTGGGAAGGCTGGTGGGAAACTAGGGTGTTTCGAATTCTCCACTTGCCCCTTGGGGATGGGCTGTGTGACTTTGGGCAAGGCCTTAGCCCTCTGAGGCTCATTTGGCTCCTGTAAAATAAAGGGCTCGTTTCTCCTTTGCTCTGTTATCGTTGGAGTAATATTAATAGTAATACTTAGTAGCTTCCACTTAGCAACTTATTGAGCACTTGCAATGTACTGATTGCCCAGTCCTTGCCCTGGAGGGGCTTGTCAGTCTAATGAGGGAGTGTATTCGGACCCAGGCAGGGTCAGGGCTGGGAGGAGGATTGTGAGGGCGGTAGGAGCCCAAAGGAGGCGCCTGACTTGGCTTTGGGAAGAACGCAGTCAGGAAAGTCTTTTTTTTTTTTTTTTTTTTGAGACAGAGTTTCACTCTGTTGCCCTGGCTAGAGTGAGTGCCGTGGCGTCATCCTAGCTCACAGCAACCTCAAACTCCTGGGCTCAAGTGATCCTACTGCCCCAGCCTCCCGAGTAGCTGGGACTACAGGCATGCGCCACCATGCCCAGCTAATTTTTTCTATATATTTTTAGTTGGCTGATTAATTTCTTTCTAATTTTTTTTTTAATAGAGGCGGAGTCTCGCTCTTGCTCAGGCTGGTCTCGAACTCCTGAGCTCAAACAATCCGCCCGCCTCGGCCTCCCAGAGAGCTAGGATTACAGGCGTGAGCCACCGCGCCCGGCCCAGGAAAGTCTTTCTGGAGAAACTGGCAGAGTCTGGGAGAGCCCAGAGGGAGGAGGGATTGGGTAGGGGTCAGGACACATGCAGGGAGAGGAAGAGGCCAGCGGGGCCTGTAATTGGGGCTGAGGAAGTGAGACTGGATCCTTAGGGAGTCACGGGAGATGTTCAGTCAAGAGGGTCTGAGTTGTCAGTTCAAAGATAATTCAAGCAGCTAGTGCGGGAGTGGTCTAAATATGCTGAAACTCAAGGTTGGTACCTCGTGTTACAGTTCCCGACTTCTGCAGTTGCTGTGACAACCTCAAGAGACACGATCTAAAAAACGCAATAAACACTAGAGAGAGTGGAGACTTGCGGACCCTCCCGGAGTTGTGAACTACAACTCCCAGGAGACTTGGTGGGCGCGGCCTCCGCCCACTTCCGGATCTCACTTCCCATCGCATCCAGGCACGGGCGGGGTTTTGCTCTCTCAACCGAACTTGATCATGAAGGGCGGAGGCGTGGCGGCCAATGGGCGCGTGAGTTAGCCGGACATGGCCAATGGGAGCACGCAGAGGCCATATGATGGAGGCGGGGGTAGAGTACGGACCAATGACGGAGGGGCGGTGGCGCCATCAGTGTGGGCTGTGCTGCGGCTGGAAGTTACTGTGCGGCGGCGACTAAGAAGGCGGCTGTGGTGGCGGCGGCGGTGGCTAAGGCGGTGGCTGAGGCGGCGACGGGGGAAACAGAAGATGGTGAGGATGACCGCCGGGCCCGTACTCCCTTTCCACTCGACAAAATGGCGCCGTGGGCCCACCCACCTCTAGTATTCCCCGAGGCCCTTCACCGCCCTGCCCAGCCCCTTCAGGCCCGGCCCCGCCCCTCATTCTGACCTGTGACCTTCGACCCCCCCAGACCCTGCCGTGACCCTGCTGACCCCGCCCCAGTCCCCTCTTCCGACCCCTGACCCCACCTAGGATTCCAGGCCCTGCCAACTCATTCATTTCCGGGTCGCAGCTCCCCGGGAAATCGCCTGGGGTGGGGATGGGGTCCCCTGAGACCTCCCAGCTCTGGCTTCGTCCTCAGCGCTCCGAACCTGGTCCTCTTCCGTTCGGGAGTTTGGGAGGCCAGCCTGGGCGTCGGGGCGGGGGGAGGGGGCTTGACATCTCGACACGCGGGTCTTTGTCGCCAAAGGAAGTGCGACATCGTCGACTACCCCGGTCCCCCAGGGCCCTGACTCCACCCCCGCCATTCTGGGCCACCACCTGCCCCTAAGAATGAACAACTCCATCTTTCCAATGCCCAGGGCCTGTCCCTGTTAAACGAGGATAGTAATAGTCCGAACCTTATAGGGTTGTGACAGTTTAGGGAACTGACGTCGTAAAGGGCTTAGGACAGTGAATGCTTAACAGACGAGCTGGGTAACTCGGGGCTGATGACATCCTCTCCTAGCTCTCTCCTTATCTTGAAGTGGGAATCTGAAACTGGCTTTTGGGGGGTTAAAATCTTCTCTGGGGCACTCACTCGTGCTGGGCTATGGGTCTTGTGCTTTGGGCATCAGTCTCCCCACCTGTAAAGTAGGACAGTGACCCAGCCTTAGAGTTGAGCTAAAACCCCTGCCCAGCCCCTCACTGTTTGGCATCCTCAGGGCTGGCAGGGGTGATGGGAGGTTCGGTTAAGATAAGTGAAGGGCCCATTGCCCCCTGACCTAGAGTACCAGCCCACCATCCACAGTCCTTGGGATGTGCTGGGGACGGGCAAAGGAAGACTTCCTGTCGGAAGGAAACAGGAAGTGGGTTCCTAGTGTGTGGGTCCCCAAGCCTGGCTGTTGTCCTTGACTTGTCAGTACAACTTCATCCCCCACACCCATTCTCATAAGAGGATCCTGTTGGCTGTGCCTGCAGAACACACCTGCAGCCGTCCATGGCTTCCCACCCTGGTCCGTGCTACCACTGCCCTTACCTCCCCAGTCCCCTGCCTGGCTGCCTGCCCCAGCCTTTTCCCTGGTCTCCTTACCTTGATGCCACACATTTGGCGGTCCATAATTCACCTAATCCCAGAAGGGGCTTTTAAGGATGTAGATCAGATTGTACAACTTTCTAGTTTACAGAATACTTCAGAGGCTTCTAGCTCCCCCACCCCCTACCCCCAAGGCCCCTGCCCACCTCTGTGACTTCATCTGCACCCCTCTTCACCCCTCGGTCTACAAGCTCCAGCCACATTAGACTTTTCACTTATACTCACTCCATGTTCCCGCCACCCCAGGGCCTTTGCACCTGCTCCTCCTTCTGCCTGGAGTACCCTTCTTCCTGTGAGCGAGGCCCTCCTACCTGCGGGAGGCTCCGTGTCTCTCCTCTCTTGGTACACTGTTGCTTTTCCTTCTCTTGCTCTGGGTCACTGGTGGGCTACCTGCAGTGGGACTGGCACACGGGTGTTCAGTGCATGTTTGCTGAGGCAGTAGATGGCTTCAGGGCCCAGCCGTGGCTGGGATTTGCTTGGCTGAGGTGAGGATTTCCTCTCGTGTCTTGAGGCCTTATTTTCCAGCTTAGCTGACAGAAAGTGTGGCCTCTACTCGGCCTTCATTCAGTTATTCGGCACAGAGGCATCGATGCTCATAGCTGCCCTCGCCAGGGCACTCTGCCTGAAGCTTTCGCCGTGTTGTCTTGTTGAGACTCAGAACAACCCTGAGCGGTGGCCCTATTGGAACACCCCATTTCACGGGGGAGGCCAGCAGGCTGGGAGGTCCTGCAGGGAGGGCCCCAGCCAGGACTGAGCGCAGGAGGTCTGGGTTCCTGAACCTCTCACCACTCAGCTGCCCAGCCCCACGAGAGCCCTGCCAGGGGCCCAGGGTTGAGTGCTTCTGCCCTCAGGGCGGTGCCAGTCCAGTGAGGGAGGTGGACGTGTAAACAGATGACCTTGTCTGGGTGTGAGTGAGGCTCTGGAAGAGTCTCCTGAGCTGTGGGGGAGCAAAGGGGTTGGGGAGGGGGTTTGGCAGGTGTTTCCCACACGGAGAAAGGAGGGACATTTCCTGGAGGGTGGCGGAGGGTGTGTGTGACAGGATACCAGCAGGGGCCAAGCTGCACCAGGACTGTGGAGGGGGACAGGGACCTCTTCTCACTCTTAAGATCTCAGCAGCTGCATCACCACCTCGGAGCAGGCCAGACCTCTACCCTCCATTGTCCTAGGCCTCACACGGTGCCCTAGAGGCACCCTGTCTCCACAGCCACTTCCCTGTGCACAGTGTGGCTGTTCGACCCACACCAGTGGCCCTGATGCAGCGGGTACTCGGCAAGGCCAGGAGCAGGTCTGTTGAAGGCCACCCCACACCCCGGTGCCCTGGTACCTGGCCAGGGCCCACCACACAGTAGGGGCCCGAGCAAACCTTGCCAAATGGATGAAGCTGACCCCACAGTCTCTGGCCGAGTTGGGGCTGGGTCCTAGGATGGGAGGGGAGGCAGGTTTGAGGGACTTTGAGCTGGCCTCAGGGTAGTAGGTCGGCCAGATGTGAGGGCCACGCGGCCACATTCCAGCTTCCCAGGCCGGCCCAGCAGAGGAGGTGCTGGACCTCATTGAGGTGAGGACACTGCTGCTCCTCCTGTCCCAGAGGGCAGTGGGAAATTGTCTGAACAGAAGCCTCCCCCAGGGCGGCTCTCTTGGGCCTCAGGGATGGGATGGATTATCCTTCCTGCCAGTAACCTGCAGGGCCTCCGAGCCCTCGATTTTTAAGCATGTTTCAGAATGGAAGGAGCTTGACTTCTGAGGTTGGCCAAACCTGGGTTCAAATTGGCTCCCTTGTTTTCTTGCTGGGACTGGGTGACCTCGGATGGGTCACACGTAACCTCTCTGCCTCAGTCTCCTTGTCTTTGACAGGGAAGCACCACCTCTTGCTTGGTTGGGTCATGAGATTGTATATAGTGAGACGGGGTTGAGGAAGGCCCTGGGCCAGGACAGGGCATGGGGGACCCTACACCAGACGTACCCCTCCCCGCCATCCCACCCCAGGCCTGACTGACAGTATCAGGTCAAAAAGGGCTTCTTGGCCAGGCGTGGTGGCTCACACCTGTAATCCTAGCACTCTGGGAGGCCAAGGCAGGAGGATCACTTGAGCCCAGGCTGAGCAAGAGCGAGACCCCCATCTCTACTAAAAATAGAAAAATTAGCGGGGTGTCGTGGCGCACGCCTGTAATCCCAGCTACTCGGGAGGCTGAGGGAGGAGGATCCCTTGAGCCTAGGAGTTGGAGGCTGCAGCGAACTGTGATTGCGTCATTGCACTCTATCCCAGGCCACAAGAGGGAGACTCTATCTTAAAAAAAAAAAAAAGCCTTCAGAAGAGTGAACAGATTCTGTTGTTGCTGGCTACCTGGAGCCACTTGGACCTGAAAACTTGGGCAGCTGAGCCCCCTGCCCCAGGAAGCCACTGGCAGGGAGGGGACAGTCTGCTCCCTCTCAGGCTCTGGCCCTCTCCGCGTGAGGGGCCCGAGGTCCGTGCCATGGACAAAGCATCCTCTCCTTACAGGGTGGGCTCAGGTGTTGGGGCTGACTTCGGGGTGTGGGGACCCCAGGAGCAGCCCCCAAGCTGACTAGTCACAGACCTCGTTACTTCAGTCTGCACAGTGTTTTTTAAAAAGCTGAGCTAGCTTTGAAAGCCTGGAGAGAACACATTCAAACTTGGATTTCTGGGTTTGCTGGACACTGGAAGTTCGGTGAACGCGGAGCTCCTGTCTGCGTGGCCAAGGCTCGTGGACCAGGCTGGGCTCCCTGATCCCCGTTTACTGTCACCCTGGCCAGTGGGGTTTCTTAGGATGGACGTGTCTTTCTGCATCCTAGGTCTCTGTCGAAGGTGGACCTCATCGTGGGCTCCTAGGAGGGCCCTGTCTCTGCTGCTTCTTCGCTCAGTGCAACTTTTAACAAGTGGCCCATTCTCTCCAAGCCTCAGTTTCCCCACCCCTTGCCTAGTTATGGGGCTGTCATGAGGACCCCCTAGGAGAGTGTGCACTTGTCCCTAGTTGGTTACTTTTTTCTGGTCATGGCTGTGCTCGTAGCAGCCAGCTCAGGAGTGTATTCTGGAAAACATGACCCACAAAGAAAAGTGGGAAGAAGGAAACCAGAAGTCCCCGGGAGCCCGTCCCCTGTAGGTGCTCAAAGGATGACCTGCACTTTGCCTGGTTCCTCACTTACCGTCCTCTGTATCTTCTAGGCAGATTTTTTGAAAGGCTTGCCTGTCTACAACAAAAGCAATTTTAGTCGATTTCATGCTGACTCCGTGTGCAAAGCCTCGGTGAGTGTGCATTTGGGGTCTGGGAGGGGTTGGGGGAACCGCCGGGGGGCTGGGGGTGGCGTGCGTCCCCCAATCGGGGTCTTGGCCAGAACTGAGGCTGAACTTCAAGCCCAGTCCTACTGCACGTCCTTGTGTGTCTTCTAGTCTGCACTGAAGGGTGGGTGCTGAGTTGAGGGGCGAGGGGACCCCAGGCCTGCCTGCTCCCCTAACCCACCCCTTCTCAACCCTCCCGCAGAACCGACGTCCCTCAGTCTACCTGCCTACTCGAGAGTACCCATCTGAACAGAGTAAGTGGCCTGTCGGTCTGTCCCAACCTGGCGGCTGAGGGTGGGGTCCAGAGACCACTGTGTGGCATACAGAGGTGACCTCCAGCCGCGCCCAGGCCAGACTCGGCTCCGGTTCACGTTATGGCTACTGCAGGGTTGGGTGGGGAGGGCCTCGGGGGAGGTGCAGGAGGTGACCTTGGAGGCTTTGGGCTAGGGGTGCACATGCGGATGCCCATCTGCTCCCTCGGGAGCAGCAGGAGACCGGCTTTCTGTGGGCTCCTTCAGGGTGCTACACGCGCTGGCATCCACATCCAGCCCAGATGGGGCCCAAGTTGGCCCTTGGGTACTGCTCATTGGCCCCGTCCCCTCCCATTCAGGTCACGTCAGACAAGAACTTAGACCCTAAGATGAGTATTGCTGGGTTGGGAGGCAGCAGAGCAGAAGGTGACAGGGGCCTGGGGTGGGGACCCAGCCAGGCCTGGGGTAGGCAGCAAGGGGAAGGGGGTCCAGGTGGAGGGGCCCACAGAGCAGGAGGACGTGGTGGTGATGTTTTAACTGGTAAAAACGAATCCAAGCTGGGTGTGGTGGTGGTGCCTGTGGTCCCAGCTACTGGGGAGGCTGAGGTGGGGGCATCGCTTGAGCCCCGGAGGACAGCCTGGGCAACATAGCCAGACTCTGTCCCTTCAAAAAAAAAGAATCCATCCATCTGGACATTGCTGGGTGGGGTTCGTGGTCACTGGGCACTGCTGTGTAGATTTGTGCTCCTGGTCCACCTGGGAAAACACCTGTGTGCTGGGGCTTGTCCCCTGCCTGAGGATGGGGTCCCCGCACGCAGGAAGCAGGGACCCGAGGGAGCAGCTGGCTCAGGCCTCCGAGTGGCCTGTGTGTACTGGGAAGTGAAATCGCTGGGCTTTTGGAAATCTCCCCAGGTGGGGCTGCTGCCTTCCAGCCCTTGAAAGACTGCTTAGGGCAGAGACAGGCCGGCGGGCAGGGAGCAGGGCCCGTCCAGGAGGCTGGGCCACCGCAGCCAGCTCCTTTCGCTGCCTCTTCTGTGACTTTCTCTGTCTTTCCTCCTTAGTCATCGTGACAGAAAAGACAAACATCCTCCTGCGCTACCTACATCAGCAATGGGACAAAAAGGTAAGGCGTGTGGGTTCCAGTGCTGGGACAGGGGACAGGGACGTGGTGCCTGCAGAGGGTTCTGAATGGGGGAAGCGCTCAGGTGGCCTGCGTGGGGCTTTGAGGGCTGCGTAGGTGTTTGCCAGGCGATCCAGGAGAGGGAAGAGCGTTCCCTGCTGCAAGGCTGCGGTGCTCGGAGACTGGAGGCCAGGCCTCCTGCAGCTCTGGCATTAGTAGACTTTACTGGTGTGACCTAGAATCTTCTCTCAATGGTGAAATGTATACATCCAGTTAAAAATCTAGGAGATACGAGAGTGTGTGACTGCAGTGAGTCATCTCCCCCAACCTCTGGTGTCCCCCCCGTCCCCGCTACCCAGAGGTTGCCTTTCTGACAGTGGGACTTTTTTCTTTTTTCCCAATGGAAATGTCTGCATGTTGTTCTGTGATATGGTCAGTTTGTTTTTCACCTAATGTTGAACGGTGGACAGCGACCTGCCCTGGGCAAGGTTGGAAGGGGACCCTGTGACAAAATGACTGCTTCTGAAAATCCGAGCGGCCCGGCTCAACCCCCGTCCTCCTCCCCAGCCCCACAGGCTTTGACGCCCCCAGCAGGGAAAGGAGATTTCCCCAAACCCGAGTACTTCCCTCCGCGGCGGCGTGTGGACATCCCGGGCGGCTCCCGGGGCCAGGTGGATCATGCTTCAAGTGTTTGGGACACTGGCCGTGCGTGGGCCGTTGTGACTGGTGGTGGTGACTCCCCAAGGTGCCCAGGAAATGCCTGCCTGTCACTGGCCATGGGTCCAGGGGTTGCTCTGGGCAGGGCTTAACCGGGCAGGGCCTGGTGGCAGGAGGGGCTGCCCAGCCAGGGCCCCTAGGTCGCGTTGCCTGCTCCACACCCAGGTCTGACGCCCCTGCAGGGGTCTGGGCTGGCGTTGGGACTCACAGCCCTGTCTCCCCCTGTCCCCAGAACGCTGCCAAGAAGAGAGACCAGGAGCAAGTGGAGCTTGAAGGCGAGAGCTCAGCGCCGCCCCGCAAGGTGGCTCGGACCGACAGCCCGGACATGCACGAGGACACTTAAGACTCGCTCCCCACGGGGGCCTCTGCCCTGTCTGCTCCTCGACCGCCTGCCCACCTGCCCACGTGTGTAAGCGCCCTGCCCGCCCCCCCGGCCCCCCACACCCCGCTGTCCACACCACTTCCAACCTCATGGGAGCCGATGTATTTATTTTCCTTGAGTTTTTATTTATGCTGTAACATGTATCAAGCGTTGGTTAAAGGGGACGTCAGACCCAGTAGTGTGATGTTGGTAGATGCTTTTCAAAGAAAACAATAACATTGTTCCTCACCCTCCCTGCCACCCCCCGGCCACTTCCCTCCTCCTGGCCCCTTGTTCTCCTCCAGAGAACCAGAGTGTGTCTGTGAGGGTCTTGCGCTGGGGGCTGTGCTGCGGCCGGGTGGCAGGGTCAGGGGCCGGGGGGCCCGGCTCTCCTGGACAGCTGAGCAGCCTTCTCCCCCCATCCCACCGGTTCAGGCCTCTGAGACTTGGCCTTGTCTCACGTTCCACCGGGAACTATTCCGTGCCCAGACCTCACTCTGAGTGTGCGTGCGGGGAGCATCGGCCTTTCCGGATCTTTCTCCTGTCATTTTATCATGGACTAGTGCGTGCTCCGTGTCCACCCCAATAAAAGGATCTTTCCTACTCGACCTTGCGTCTTTGCTCCACACACCTCGGCCCCAGAGGACGGAGACCCCGAGAGTCGTCCTGTCATCACCAAGAGGAGAGAGAAGGGGCCCCCGTGCCAGGGCCCTGGGGACCCCCAGCTGGATTCTCTGGTGGGCTTGCCGCGGCCGCCACGCTCAAGGCCAAGACCTGCCTGGACCAGCCCCCCCACCTCCCCTGTCACGGTGTCCCTGATGACCAGGTCATCCCTGAGAGACGGTCGGTGGCGCAAGGATGGAGCTGTGGTCAGTCCTATGCTGAGGACACGGCTGAGCAGGGCAGTGCCCACCAGCCACTGCGGAGACGGCCCAGTCTTGGCTGGCGCCCCGGGGTCTCGGGGCCTCTGCTGGTCCCCCGAGGCATGGCGACAGCAGAGACGGCATTTGGCATGTATGGCCGGCCAGCCTGAGTGGTCTGGCCTCACTGCCCCTGGGTCAGAGAGGAGGCATGCCAAGTGCCACAGCCACTCATGGGGCCCCTCCTCTACCAGCTGGGCTGGGTTTGGGGCTGAGCTGGGGGATGTAGGGGTGTCGAGGCTCCAGGCCTCAGTACTGGGGCCTTGGGGTGGTGGGCGTCGCGGCCTCAGAGCTACAGGAGACGCTGGGCTGGGGAAGGGGCGCCCGCCCCATGTTACCACTGTGGAGGGCCCTGCCCAGCTCTCCTGGGGCGGTGCTGGGGTTGGTTCCTGCCATCACACAGGGAGTGGCTGAACCAGCCCCGGCCCAGTGCAATCACCCAGCTGTGCCGTGGGGCCCGGTGGCTTTGCCTCCCAGCTGTCAGCAGCGTCTGCACCGCGGTCCCGTGGCCGCAGGGCAGGTGCTCAGGAAGCGCGAACTTGGCTGCTGGTGGTTGTGCCGGGTGGGGCTGAGCTCCCCTGAGGCTCGCGGACCAGCTGGGCAAGCCGAGGCCCAGGGCTTGTCTGACCCTGGACAGGCTTGTGGCGTCACTGTTTGTTAGTGACTGAGATTGTGGGACTTCGGCTTCGAAGGCCCCGGGCCAGATGGGAACAGGCGGCAGCCTCATCCCTCCCCTTGGCTTGCCCAGGCCTCTCCAGCCCCCAGAACCCGCTTCGAGGGGCTGGGTCCCGTCCCCCGTCGCTGCTGTCTGCCCCTGGCTCTGCCATAACTGCCAGGCAGCCCTTCCTTCCCCTCTCCTGCCTCGGCTCCCTCGGGTGGGGGTCCCATGGCCTGTCCCGCCTAAGCCTCCCTGTCGCCTCGCCCAACTCTGAGACCTGTCGCGACAGGCCCCTGGGCACATGCCCTCCCTGGCTCCCACTGCCTTTGGGGTCCACTTTACCCCGATGTTCCCCCAGACTCCAAACTCTGCCTTCCCACACCTCTCTGCCTTTGCACAGCCCGTTCTGCCTCCAGCGGACCCCGACTTCACAGCCTCCTGAAGCGCCCCTTCCTCGCACTGGCTCCCCCAGCCTGTCCCTCAGGCCTTCGGGTACGGACACGTTTGTCCTCTCCTTGCAGACGGACACGAGGGTCTGAGAGACCATATTCCCGTTCCTGAGTCACACAGCAAAGCGTCCCAGCCACTTGGGTCTGATATCCGTCCCATAGTGGGACATTTCAGCTGCTCCCCAACACCACCCTGTGTCTGTTGTGGGGGCCCCCAATGCGCCATCTTCTCAGTATTGCAACTCTGGGACCATGGTGGCCTCGGGTGCCAGGTGCCTTCTGATGTTCACACCCCAAGTTCCTCCTGCTGTGCCTGGCACCCCAGCTGGCACTCCAGAAAGTGCCGCCTCTTAACAAACCAACCCCCTGCCCCTGCTTGAGGCTGAGGCCTGTTCAGGACACAAACCCTATGCCTAAACTGCTGAATCTTTTCAGCGCTTTGAGATTTCTTCCTTTGCTTGGGTGGCTGAAGCCAGGGCGGCACTCGGCCCCCGAATCTGGGCCGTCTCAGAGGCGGTGCAGCCTGGAGTTTTCCATCTGTGGCCCCGAGACCCAGTTCTTGGAAGGAGGCCCCCAAGGGTCAAGCCGGCCTGTGCCAGGATGGGAGGAGTGCTCACCCGGGCCCCCCACAGCCCCTCCCACTGCTCTGACCTCAGGCACTGTTGAAATATACTTTTTATTGCATTTCTGCCGTTTTACAAAAATATGACAAAATAAATTAAAAACAAATAAATAATCGCCTATTCTGTGTGTTTTCTCTTGGGTTTGTGGGTTTCCTTTCGGCTCCCCCATACTGGTGGAAAGGAAAACGGCAGATGGGGGGGTGCCGGCCAATACTGGAGGCCAAAGCGCATTTTGCATTTTCTGGGCCGGCCACCCCTGTGAGGGACTGATATTGCATATGAGAAGAGAAGGCAGGGTGGGCAGGCAGAGCTAATGCCAGCCACTGGGCCAGCACGCAGCCTGGGGGCTGGGGCTGGGGCTGGGGCTGGGTGCCGGGGCCTCGGGGGTTTCCGAGGTGGCCGGCAGTGGCGGGGGCAGGAGGCTGTAGAAGCTGGTGTCCCCTGGCAGGGGCTGAAGGGCAGGCGGGGGCCCGACCAGGGCACAGGGCGGGCACTCAGTGGCTGGGGCCTGGCGGAGGGCAGTGCCCTCGCCCCCGCAGCCCCATGGCCCATCCCATTGCCAGCAGCCGGCAGGCAGTGTCGGGGGCCGGGGCAGCGGCATTGGCGGTGGCGGTGAGGGGCTCCAGCTGCGACGGGTGCGGAGGGCAGGGGCGCCCACGGGGGCCAGTGCTGTCCCTGCGGAGGCGAGAGGGGCCGTTCCGGGGAGATGCCGCCCCTGCTGGACCCCACCGGGCTGGCGACCCTGCCCACATTCCCTCCCGGGCTTCCAGGCACGTGAAGGGCCTTATTGCTTCTGATCAGAGACAGGGTGGGCGTCTCGGGGTGCAAGCCCTGCCTCTGGGCACGGGCCTGCCCAGTCCTGGGGAGAGGACATTTGAGGAAGTCCCTTTGGCTTCTGACCTATCTCCCTGCACTGCTGCCACCTCTTGGGCTCCCTGGGGCCGGGGCTGGGGTGGGTGAGGTGTGGTAGGGACAGTGGTCCGGGGCAGTGAGGTCTGGGCCTCTGCTCAGCACAGTGTGGGTGTGGCCTGGCTGAGTGCCCCGAGCTCCCTGGGTGTGCAGTTCCAGCACCCCATCTCCAAGGAAGGCCTCCCTGAACAGCTGGGCAGCAGGGCAGGAGTTTGCATAGAGGCCTGGGGGTCCAAGTCCCCCCAGAGTGAGCTGGGTGTGGGGGCCTGTGGGGGTGGGCCAGGTGGTGATGGGGCCTCCCTCATCTCCCTGGCACTGGAGCATGGTGGGAATGCCCTGGGAGGGGTACTGGGACAGGGGGCTTTGGTGTCCCTCCCTGGGCATGACAGGGTTAGGCACAGGGCTCCAGGCTGTCACAGGGCCCTAAGATATGAAATAGGCTTTGACTGAGAGGATCCATGTACTACACGGACCCGGATCCCCTCCAGTACCAGGGACCAGGCCTCGTCTGTTCCCTTCAGCCTCTCCCCATGCCTGGACACCCACCCCTGCCCCTTAAGCCGGCCGGCGTCCCCACCCCCGAGTTAAAGCTTGTGACCTGAGCCTTCTTCTTCAGGCCGGGGGGCTTCCAGCTCCTCAGCCGCGGCCTCGTCCACTGGCCCACTCCTCTGGGCCCGGCTGCCACCACTGCTGGGGGTCCCGTCTGGCCGGGCCTGCCCGCCCGCCCCGTTGGACCCGGCCTCAGCCCGAGCCCCGCCAAAGGGGAAGAGCTTGCCGGCGTGGAAGGCCTTGGGTGGCGAGTGGCTGCGGTCGGAGTCCCGCCGGGTCTCGGGAGACTTGAGGAACTTGAAGCTGAGGAAGGCCGGCAGGCGGGTGTCGCTGCCGGTGGGCGACTGCGCGGGAGGCGGCCGCGCAGAGGCGCTGGAGCCTGCAGCAGCCAGCGAGGACGCGGCCCCTGAAGACAGAAACTTCCCCTGGAGCGGGATGATCTGCTTCAGCTTCATGACGTTGTTGGGCGCCAGCAGGGATCCGGGGCGCTTGGGCCTCTCGGGCCCGTGGCCGCCGGCCCCGCCGCCCTTGGCCTTGGCAGAGGCCTTCTCGGAGGCAGCGGCGTCCAGCCCGGAGCCCTCAGCCCTCGCCTCCTCCCGGCCGCTGGCGCCGGCGTCGCGTTCTCGCCGGGCGTGGTGTTCTGCGTGGCGCTGGCGCTCCTCTTCCTCCCGTCGCCGCCGCTGCTGCTGCTGGTAGCGGTGCTGGGCCTGGCGCTCGTGTCTCTGCGGGCAGAGCCGGGCGTTATGGGACTGGGAAGAGGGGGCCTTAGCGGCACCGGCTGAGGCCAGGGGCAAACCGGGCTGTCCGCAGAAGTGCGGGGAGATCCAAACGCTTATTGGATGCCAGCTGCATCCCTGGGCCCATGATGGGGCTCTCTGAGGAAGGGTGAAGAGATCCAAACACTTATTGGGCACCAGCTGAATCCCTGGACCCACTCTGGGGCTCTCTGGGGAAGTGGGGAGAGATTGAAACGCTCATTGGCACCAGCGGAATCCCTGGACCCACACTGGGGCTCTTGGAGGAAGGGGGGAAGAGATCCAAACACTTGTTAGGCGCCAACTGAATCCCTGGACCCACACCATTGCTTTCTGGGAACTGTGAAGAAAACAAATATTCACCGGCCACCAACTCTGTCCCCAGCTGGCCGTGTGCCAGATGGAGCTGTGACCAGAGCCGACTATAGTCTGTCATCCAACCTGGTACCCAATAGCCACGCAAGACTTTGTCAATGTAAATTTAAATTCATTAAGATTCGTGGCCTAGCACAGTGGCTTACACCTGTAATCCCAGCACTCTGGGAGGCCGAGGCAGGAGGACTGCTTGAGCTCAGGAGTTCGAGACTAGCCTGAGCAAGAGCTAGACCCCATCTCTACTAAAAATAGGAAAATTAGCCAGGTGTGATGGTGCAAGCCTGTAGTCCTAGCTATTCGGGAGGCTGAGGCAGGAGGATGGCTTGAGGCCAGGAGTTTGAGGTTGCTGTGGTGAGCTATGATGACACCACTGCACTCTACCCAGGGTGACAGAGTAAGCCTCTGTCCCAAAAAAAAAAAAAAAAAAAGAAAAATCATTAAGATTCAATAAAATAAAAATTTAGTTTCTCAGTTGCACCAGCCCCAATTACGACACGTTCACTCACTGCCCGTGGCTAGGGCTACACGGATAGCGCCCACACAGAGCACTGCTACCAGCGAGGAAGCCGGGAGCTCCTTAGCCCATTCTGCCGTTTTCTGAAGAATGTGGAAGACACTGGGCTTCTAGAAGGATCCGTCATGTCCCCAGGCCCCAGTGGGGATGCCATCAGGGGAGCTGGCAGATGACAGAATGTTCTTGAGGGCCAGCCTGGTCCTGGATGCCACTGAGACACCGGGAGCGACCAGGCCGTTGTGAGCACCAATGATGACACCTCCCTCTGTGCCATCTGTGTGTGTGCCCTCGTGCTAAGGAGCTGGTGGCTGAGATCTGAGAGCCGAGATCTGTCACTAGCAAAGCCCCACTGAGCGAATGAGTAAGGCGAGCCTGGCCCCGGCCCACGTACCTTGAAGGCCTCGCGGCGCTGGTATTCCAGCTTGGCCATCTCCTCAGCCACCCAGCCTGGGATGTCAGGGATGGCCACGTGGATGAGGTACTTGAGGAGCAGAGCAAGATGCTGTGGGGATGGCAGAGAGGTGGCTGCAGGCTCTGGGATCGCGCTCCCGCTGCCTGGCTCCCCGGGGCCCAGCCACCAGCCGCACCTCGAGCACCACCACGGACACGATGGCTGCCTCTGGGCTCAGCCAGGGGAAGAGGCGCTGCAGCTGTCCACACTGGCCGATTAGGTAGCAGTTGACCACGATCGCCAGGACGCCCATGGCCTCCATCACCTTCTGCAGGGTGGCAGGGGGGGCTCAGGCAGGATTCGGCCGGCCTCCCTGGGTCCCCAGCTCCTCCCCGCTGCACCCTGGCTCCCTCCTGGCAGTGGCTCAGAGACCTCAGCCTCCCTCCCACCTGCCACTGGCCGATGCTCTCCACGCGCTGGCCGAAGGGCCGCTGTAGCCCCGTGCACAGCTTGAAGGCGTCACTGCGAATCTCAATGAGGTTGTTGACCAGGGCGCACAGCGCGGCCAGGGGGAAGGCAGATGAGAAGAGCACAACGTAGCCGAACTGCACGAACATCTCCTGATAGTCCTGGAACGTGTCCTGCAGGAAGGCAAGTGTCAGACCTGCATGCCTCCTCTCTTGGACCACCTTCCACCCAGCCTGGCTCCCTCAGACAATCGCGTGGGGACCTAGGGTGGCTCCCCATCCTCAGCCAGTCCAGAGGCCTCCATCCGGCTGGGTCTCCCCCTCTTGCAGCATCCTAACTGCACTAAGGTCCGTTATCACCCCTCCCCCCACCTCCACCCTCGGACTGTGTGCGCCCTCCCCTCCTCACCTCATACTTCTTCATACAGCTCTCCAGCTCTGCCTGGGTGAGCTGGGGCGAGTGTTCCTCCTCAGGAGGGTCAATCCAAGACGACCGGTTCTGCCGCCTCTGCCTCCGGGTGGAGTCGCCGCTGGAGCTGGGGTCCGGGTCCGGGCCACCGTCGGGTCCTTGGTCTCGGCCCTCACCCCCTGCCCGGCGAAGTAGGATGGCTGGGGGCTCCCTCTCAGGGCTGCTGGGAGCCCCCTCCGCCTCGTCATCTTCCTCAGCCAGCGTGAACACACCGGGCTCCAGCCCCTTCTCCACCATGGTAGGGCTACCCTCCTCCAAGAGGGCCTCCGGGCTTGGGCCAGGCCGGCGCAGCCCGGCACCCCGCTCGGCGAAGCTGACCTTCTTCAGCCGGAGCCCGCAGTCTAGGAGGCCACCTTCCTCGCCCTCCTCTTCCTCCTCCTCCTCTTCCTCATCGTCTTCTTCTTCCTCCTCCTCCTCTTCCTCCTCTTTGCGCGGAGGCCCATCCCCCACCTCCCCGCCTTCCCCTGCTGGCCGCCTCTCCACCGTGGCTGCCTCCTCCTCCTCCTCGGGTGCCCCGCAGCCCCCGCTGAGACACCTGCGGCGCCCCCCAGCGCCGCTGCCACCACGCTCCTCAGCCTGGGGCTCTAGGCGGCGGGGCGCGGGGCGCCGCGGGCTTAGCAGGCCGAGCAGGGCGCGGGCCAGCTCCCAGACGGCGCGCACGCCCAGCTCGCCGCGGCTCAGCCGCCGGTACAGGTGCGGCTGCAGGACCTCTCGCACGTTCTGGAGGAACTGACGGGTGATCAGTAGCGTGGCCAGCATCTGGGGGCAGGAGGGGCGGAGAGAGGAGCATGGGGGGCAGGCGGGGCTCTGGGCACCAGCACGGGGCACCGTCGGGGAGCCCTGGGCCCAGACACGCACGCCGGGCCCGATTGGTAACTCTGCCCCTGCGGACACGCCCGGACACCAGCGCTCAGACGCGGTTCACAGCTGCCCGCACCGCAGCCTGGCACGCCACAGCGCCCCAGCCTCCCCGGGTGGGCGAGGCGGGACCCCAGCCACCTGCGCGGGGTTGGCTGAGCCGGGATCCCCTCCGCGCATGCGCCTCAGCTCGGCTTCCCCAGCCCCCGCACAGCCAGGCTGCCCTCCCCACCAGGCCCCGGCGGCTCGCCCCCTGCCCGTACTTTGGCCCAGGCCGTGAGAAGGAGGCCCCGGAGGGAGAGGAGGAGCAGGCGGAACTGCAGGGCCGCGAGCGGGACCAGCACCGCCCGCAGCTGCCGCTCGAGGCTCTGGGACAAGGACAGGACGAGCAGGAGCTGTGGAGGGACCGACGGACAGGTGGACGGACAGATGGGGGGGTGACAGGCAGAGAGAGGACGCACGGATGACGACAGAGAGGAGAGAAGGATGGAGGAGGGAGGGGAGGGGCTGGAGAGCCCTTGGACCCCTTGAGCCAGCTCTGGCCCCCGCTGGCCGCCGTGGGGACAGGATCTCACCTCTTTCAGGCGCTCCATGTCCTTGAGGTAGAAGCCGATGTAGAAGAGGCTCAGGTAGGAGTTGACGAACTGGAACTGAAGGAGACAGGCAGGCAGCGGTCGCCCTGCTACCCCCACTTCCCGGAGCCCTCCCTGTGCCCCACACAGACCCACGCCCTCTGCTGTCCCCGGCCTGCCTGCTGGCCGCAACTCACCAGCACAACCTTGATGATGAGGTGTTTTTCATAGGCGCTCTCCAGCCTGTAGTTCTCTAGGGGCCGAGGGGTACAGTGAGTGGGCGGCCCTGACCCCCAAGGGCAGTGGGGATCCCAAAGGGTGGTGGGGACCTTCCTCCCCCGTGCGGGGAGCGGGGCCCCTTGGCAGGGCGTACCCATGTCGTTGAGCCAGACAGCGAGCTTCTTGTAGCCCTCGGCACTCACGCTGACGAGCAGGGCCAGCGCCACCTTGGGCAGGAAGCGGGCCAGGCGGGGCAGCCCCTTGACGCTGAGCACCAGCTCCTGCAAAGCAGGGGGTCGCAGGTTCGGGCTCACCCTGCTGGCGGGGCTCAGCTAGAGGTGGAGCTGGGCGGGTGGTCGCCCAGTTGGGTCAAGGCAGGGTGGGGTAGATCGGGGGTTACCTGCAGCTGGAAGCAGCCGAGCATGAGCAGGAAGACACAAACGAGGCTTGCCAGGCACAGCGGGAGGCTGACGAGCAGCTGGAAGAGCAGCCGCTTCCAGGGCGGGTAGTAGAACTCCTCAGCTCTCGTCACAGGGCTGATGCGTCGTACCCCCTGATGGTGGGCAGGGGCCGGGCCCAGCGTGAGACCAGAGGGGCCAGCTCTGCCCCACACATGCTTCCTGATCCTAAGAACTCTGTGTCCTGCCACGCCTTTGCCTTCTCCCTTTGCCCACCTAGGGTGCCCTTCCAAGTCCCTCAGTCGCAGTTTCCACCCCCCCATCCAGAGCACACCCTCTTTGCGAACACCAACCACATCTTACAGCTCCTGCTGTGCCCTCCCTGTGCACACTCTCTCCTTTAACCCATTTTCCGTGACCTTGAACTCAGCCCCCAACTGACCCTGAACTGGGGGCGTGGCTCCTCCACGGCTTCCCCGGGTGAGTCCAGTGTCCCCCACTTGTAGGCTAGCTCGGCACCCCTCCGCTTCCATTCCTCTAAGAACAGCGTTGACCAGATCACATTGAAGAGAGCGAAGACCACGCAGGACACGTCCCGGCTTGTCTGTGGGTGGTAGAGGACGGCTGAGCTGTTGGCCAGGCCAGCACAGGGAGGAGGGTGTCTTTGGATCCCCTAGTCCCTGCCTGGCCCCCGCCTGGTACCTGATCGGCTTCCGTGAACGTGTACAGGACCGAGCCAAAGACAGCTGGGTACACCATCGCCGACGTGTAGAAGCCCAGCCAGGCGAAGTACATGGCAATCTTCACACCAAAGTAGTCGCAGATGTCATCTGCCAGGGAACAGAGGTGTGTCCCAGTCACCCCCTGTCTGCCTGCTGGGATCCCCCCGAATCACCTACCCCAGGCCGCACCTAGAGGCTGGTTTTCGCACACGGCCTGCACCCATGACTTCATGAGGCGGTTCAGAATACGCTGCTCATGGACCGGGAACACCTGCTGGATGATCCCACGGGCCACCAGCTCGGGGACTATAGGGGGACGAGCACAGTTTATGTCAGCTCCTCCACCCTGACCCCAGGCTGACCAGCCCCCTTTGTCTGAAACCCAAGTCACAGCTTTTTGCCTGTTCTTAAATGCACAGAGGTTCTTCCCAGGGGAGTCCTGTGTGGACGGAACATCCGATTCTCCTTTAGAATTTGGGAGATTTAGGGGCAGGCAGGGAAGGAACCAGTAGGGTAGGGTGTGAATGGGAAACTGTGTTTTTAAATAAAGCTGTTTGGCTTCAGTTTGTGGCCCCAAACGTCTGAGGAATGGTACAAAGTCGACATCAGAAGGTAAACTTGCAGCAGCTCAGTTTTCTGCAGGGGAAACCAAGGCCCAGGGCTTCACAGCGCAGCATGTGGAGCTCTGTCCATGGTCCCTGCCGCAGCCACATCCCATTCCCAGAGAAGAGCCTCGCCCGGACCCGCCTCCCTCAGATAAGCCCCACCCTTATGCTAAGGCCACGCCCATTCAACCCATTGGTTGCCCAACTCTTTGTCAACCCTTGACTGGTTGGCCATAGGCCCCACCCCCCCTTAGAGGTTGTCCTCTAAGAGCCCCACCCAGCTTTCTGCCTGTGATTGGAGCGCCGGCCCCGCCTTGCTCACTGATTGGCTGGTCTTCCAGGAAGCGCACGTTGTGAAGCGCCTCACCCTGCTTGGCACGCAGGTTCTGCAGCCAGAAACGGATGATGCTCTGACGTTCCTGGGGGGCGATAGGGCGTGACCGAGGGGCCCGCACACCCGGGTGTGCGCGGGACACGGGCGCTAGGCTCACCTGGGAGGTGAAGAAGCGCAGCTCGCTCTCCACGTTCTCGTAGATGAAGTCCTCGTCGCAGGAGAAGCCGCGGGTGCCCCCGCCGAACTCGGCCTTGACGGCCTTGCGCAGGCCCAGCTCGTCGGCTCCTCGGAGCAGGCTGCAGAGAGGGTGCGGGAGGCGGGCTCAAGGGCAGGCCCTGGCTGGCCGTCCCGGAGCTGAGCTGAGCGCGGTGCCCCCGGTGGTCTCCTGGGCCACACGCAGGGCGGGACCCGGTGGCAGGCTCCGCGACAGGCGGGACACTCGCCTCTCGTACGTGGCGGTGACGAAGAAGGCGTAGGCTCGCGTGTGGCGGTGGTGGCGGACTTGCACGATGAGCTCGGGGATGCCCACGCGGATGTGGTTCAGCAGCCATAGCAGCGTGTGGTCATCGGTTGTGTCTGCCAAGGGGTACAGGGACCGATGGCTCTGGCCACACGGGGGGCCCAAGGCCTCCTGCACATGCTCTGGGAAGCCGAGCTCAGGAGAGCCGCATCTGGGCACCGGGCGCGCGGGCGTGGGTACCTGGGAAGGTCATCAGCACGTCGCAGTTCTCTGTAGGCACCGTCTTCATCCATGCCTTGTGGGACACCAGGTAGCGACCCGCCTGCAGGAGCCGCTTCCCGAAAAGCTTATCTGGGGGCGGCGTGGCAGGCCCGGGTCAGGCCTCTCTGGGACCGGACCCCGCCTCCAGTTTTGGTTTCTCCAGCCCCCGCCAGGGCTCCTCAGCATTCTGCCTGGCATTCAAGGCCCTTAGAACTCTGGCCTTGGCTCGGTTTCCTCCCTCTGCGTCCTTGCACCAGCCAAGCCCCCCTCCAGGAATGCCACCCCCATCCAGGTCCTCTCTTACAAATCTTACTCATTCTGGAGGCCCAGCTCCTCCTCCGAAACCACAATCGGTAGGGCGCTCACTAGCAGCCCCGAGCACTTCACGACGTTGTGACAGCGCGTCCCTACAGCAGCCCACGAACTGGGTGCGGTTCTTACCCCCATTGCACAGGTGAGGAAACTGAGGCCCAGAGCGTTTAAGTCACATGCCCAAGGTCACAGTCGAGCTGGGATTTGAACCCAGGACCGTATGATTCTGTATTCTCCTCGGGGAGGCTCTCAAGCGCATCCCTGCCCCGCCACGATCCCACAGCCCCGGGGTGGCGGGGCGCAGCCCCAGGCTGGGACTCTCGGAGGGGCGTGTCCGCGTCTCCGCGCCGGGACCCCCGCCCGCTGCACTGTCCCAGCCCCGCCCGGGCCGCAGCCGCAGTGCCGGGAGAAGCCGGCCCCTCCGCGGGACACCAAGCCAGGGACGTTTGACCCTAATCCTTCTCCCCGTCCAGCCGACGAGGGCACCCAGGCACCTGCACCCCGTCTAGTCCAGGCGCCGCACACATACCCAGAACTCCGGACGCCGGGGCCGCAGGCTCGCCCTCCGGCGGGGGCCTCTTGCCACGCTCGCCCTCCAGGGACGTGCCCCCGGAGCCGGAGGCGGCCTCGGACATCGCGAGGACAGGTCAGGTCAGGGGCTGCGAGCGGCCCGGGCACCTGGGGGCCGCGGGCTCATGGGGCCGGTGCCGCGGCTGAGCGCGCGGGAGGAGGAGACAAAGGCCGCGCCCGCCCGCGCGGGCCTCCGTCCTCGAGAGCCCGAGTGCTGCTTCTCGTCCCCGCCCGAGCCGAACCTCGACTCTCCTTCCCCACCCGGCACGCGTCACTCTTCTGGTTCTCGTCTCAGCCCTCCCGCCTCGCTCGCTGGTTCTTGTCTCCGCCCGTGTTGTTTTCTGGGTTTCGTTCTCGCCCGCCCACCTCGCTCTCTGGTGTTCGTCCCCTCCCGCACCGGTGGTGCATTCTCCGACTCGTCTCTACCCGCGCCGCATTCCAGTACCCGTCCCAGAGCCTCAGTTTCCCCATCTGTAAAACCTAGACTCCGGAGGCGCGATTTGGAATGTGAGATATGCGTGATTTGACTACGGCGGGACTTGGGAGGGGGCGGGCCTGGTCGAAGGAGATTCCTGGTGGCAACAACCTCAACGCCACCGCAGGACTGCAAATGGATAGATACAGCAGGTGCTGTCTCAGGATCTTTGTGCATGCCGCTCAGCGGCCTAGGACACTTTTCGTGCCCTCTTCGCCCACTTAACCCCTACTCCCTTCGGGATGTAACCCCCTTAGAAAAGATCCGATAGAGTTGTCAAGTTTAGCAAATAAAAACAGTCCACCTAGGTAAACGTAAATTTTAGATGAACGCATAAATGTTCAGTATGTCCAAACTGTGACACGGGGCACAGTGACCCTAAAATGTTAGGTCTGGTTCTCTATGCCTGGCACACAGTAGGCACTTGGTGCATACTTGTTATCGATGGAACAACCAGACCTGGAGAGTATCATCGTTCGTTGCTATTTTACAGCTGAGAAAAACTGAGCAGGGCGGGTATGGGGCGTTAGAGCTCGAGCCCGTCCGACAGATCCCCCCGCCCCAGCGAGAGCGCGCCGCCCGCCCGCTCTGGCCGAGAACCGCAGAATCGGCGGAGCGAAGGAGCTCCCGGAGACCCGCCCAGCCGGTGCCTGGAATCCCACCGTCCGCGCCCTGGCCCGCGGCTAGCGCTGTTCCGGGCCAACCTGAAGGGAATCTCCGAGCCTGCCCTTTCTGGCTTTCGGGGAGCCAGAGACTGACCGGACACTTGGCTCTGCAGGTGCGGACTTGGGCCAGAGGGAGAGTCAGGGAAGTCCCGATGGGAGAGAGGGCCGTGCGGGGGGTTCCCGGAGGAGGGTGCCCTTCCTGGAGGAGGAGGGGATCTTGGAGCTAGACCTTGAGGATGAGTTTGTCAAATGAGGGAGAGCGTCCGAGGCCGAGGGAACGGCGGGAGGGAGAGCTGGGGAGGAAATAGAATCTACAGAGTTCCAGGAAAAGCTAGTAGGAATCTTCCCAGAAGTTCGGGCAAGATTTTCCCTGGGCCAGGGCGTGGGTTCCCCGGAACTCATCCCTCCCAGTCACTGAGCTGTTATGAGCTTCCGGTCTCAACCTGGGCGCAGAGAGGTGCAGCCCCTCCTTTCTGGGACGGGAAAACTGAGCGCACCTAGGTCCTTGACTCGCCTAAGGCTACAGCGTGAACAGCTGGAAATACACGACTCCGAACCCTCGCCTCGCGGTAACTAGCGCTCGGTGCCAAGCTCTGTCCTCTCAGCTCATTTCCATTGTGTCGGATCCCCGCCGCTCTAGGAACCTGAACTGTCGGCCTACTGTTGCCCGGGGAACAGCATTTCGCTACACCCACCCGGTGGCGCCCCCGCCCTCGTTCCCTTGCGCCAGCCAATGGAAATGAAGGTCTTTAGTCGATGGGCGGGACGTCTTCTAAGGCGCCCAATGATAGTCGAGAATCGTTGAGCATTTTATCTGTCATGCCGCGGAGTGGGGGGTGGGGCCTCCTGCCCGGACTTGCAGCCGCAGAGGCAGGTCGGACAGGAGGGTCGGCGGTTGTAAACCCATGTGGCGGGGGTTGTGGACCCTGGCTGCCCGAGCGGCACGTGGGCCTCGCAGGTGGGACGACCGGGGAAGGGGTGTGACAGCATGGGGTGCAGCTTGGATCCCAAATCCACTCCCTGGGTTATAGGGGCCCAAGTCTATGCTGCAGAGCTACTACCATTCGCATTCTTCCGAGCCTGAGTCCGTCCGTGCCCCCACCGCAGAGCCCGCGTCTCATCTGGGTCACCTTCTGGCCACAGAGCTTCCAATTCGGTCACCCTCCGGCCTCAGGACCTCCGAGCGGTGCAGAGCTCCCGCCCGGAACGTCCCCCAACCATAGCCCTCGGTCAACCTGTTGCTCGGGGGGCAGAGCCCACCAGGCGCGCTGACTGGCCCTCTTGCGTTGCAGACTGTGCCGGCGCCAGGGCAGCGGCGCTCCGGCTCTCAGCTCCGGGGCTACCATCTTCGCGTTGAGCTCTGGCCAAGGCCGTTGCGGCATCGCGGTGATCAGGACCAGCGGCCCTGCCAGCGGCTACGCCCTCCGGATCCTCACAGCGCCCCGGGACCTGCCCGCAGCCCGCAAAGCCAGCCTGCGCCTGCTCAGCGACCCCCGTTCCGGGGAGCCTCTGGACCGCGCGCTCGTGCTCTGGTTCCCAGGTGAGGGGTCTCCGGTCCCGAGCCTCCTGTAGCTCTCATGACCCAGTTTCCCCCCTCCAGGAGTCTGCCCAGACCGTGCCCTCCTCCTGACTCTCAGCTGTCTGCCACATTAGGTCCCCGAAGTTTCACGGGTGAGGACTGCGTGGAGTTCCACGTGCATGGAGGCCCGGCCGTGGTGAGCGGCATCCTGCAGGCCCTGGGTGAGTTGTAGCCATGGGTTCAAGGCCTGGCTCTGCCAGTGATCCTGGCTGGGGACCAGGGGCTCAGGACCCGGGGTCTTCCTTCAGGCAGTGTGCCAGGGCTGCGGCCGGCAGAAGCAGGAGAGTTCACCAGGCGAGCATTCGCCCATGGGAAGCTGAACCTGACCGAGGTGGAGGGGTTGGCTGATCTAATCCACGCAGAAACCGAGGCACAACGGCGGCAGGCCCTGAGGCAGCTGGACGGGGAGCTGGGCCACCTCTGCCGCAGCTGGGCCGGGACCCTCACCAAGGCATGTCCCCCATTTGCCCATTCCCCGCCTCGGAGACCCCACCTGTCCACCCCCTGCATGAGAGCCCTCCACCTATTCGCCCTCCATTCCCTACACGAAAGCAACTGGCCTACGAGCCGCCAATCTGGCCCCTTAGATCAGGCTGGACGTGGGCAAATTGGAGGTGAGATGGTGGGTTCCCGGGTGCTCACACCACCTATTGTCTCCTCTCCCCCAGGCTCTGGCCCACGTGGAGGCCTATATCGATTTCGGTGAGGATGACGACCTGGAGGAGGGTGTCCTGGAGCAAGGTGAGTCTGCTTCGAGGTGAGAGATGGGGACGCCTGGCATCTCAGCTCCCCAAAGGCCCCCTCACTCCCTCCCCTCTGCCTGCTTTCCCTCACCCACAGCGGACGTCGAAGTTCGGGCGCTGGAGGTGGCACTAGGTGCTCATCTACGGGATGCCAGGCGTGGGCAGAGGCTGCGCTCAGGGGCGCACGTTGTGGTCACTGGACCCCCCAACGCAGGCAAGAGCAGCCTGGTGAACTTGCTCAGTGCGTGTGAGATGGTGAAGGGCGGGGCCTGAACAGGGCGGGGCCTAGTGCCAGGGGCGGGGCCAGGAACTGAGAAACTGATTTGTTCAGATCTGGGAAAGAGGCCAGAGTAGACAGAAGCTCTGTCCAGACAGGGGGCGGAACCTGGGGAAAGAGCTCCTTTGCCTCTACTCTTTCTCCTTTCTGACCGCCCCCCCAGGCCGGAAGCCTGTGTCCATCGTGTCCCCGGAGCCAGGGACCACTCGAGATGTGCTGGAGACCCCCGTGGATCTGGCTGGGTTCCCTGTGCTGCTGAGCGACACGGCGGGTTTGCGGGAGGGCACAGGGCCCGTGGAGCAGGAAGGCGTCCGGCGGGCCTGGGAGAGGTGGGCAGACAGGGTGGTGGTGGGAGGGGAATGCAGGACCCTTCCTCTGCTTTTTCTCCCTGTTGCATTTATTTTTCATTCTTCCTGAATAGGAGAAGGTCACTAAGCTCCTTCAAGTGGGGACCTCAGTGCTTTGGTTCTGATTAAGTTCCGCCCCTGTAGTACTTATGTGTTTGCCCCGCCCCTCATGCTCTGCCTGCTCTCATGGGCTCGGCCTGCCCTCATGGGCTCGGCCTGCCCAGAGCCTGTACCCACTCCACTTGGGGTCGCCACTCAGTTGGTTCTTTCTGCTTCCCTAGGCTGGAGCAGGCTGATGTCATTGTGGCCATGCTGGACGCCTCTGACCTGGCCTCTCCCTCCAGCCGCAACTTCCTGGACACAGTTGTAGCCCCCATGGGATCCCAGAGCCCCAGTGAGAGCAACCAGCGCCTTGTGCTGGTGCTGAACAAGTCGGACTTGCTGCCCCCTGAGGGCCCAGGCCCCGGTCCTGACCTGCCCCCCAACCTGCTGCTGTCGTGCCTGACCGGAGAGGGGCTCCACGATCTCCTGGAGGCCCTGAGGAAGGAGCTGGCTGCAGTGTGAGCCCCCCTCGCCCACTCCCAGCTTCCCCTGATCCAAGTTCCAGCGGAGGCTGAGCCACTGGCTTTGTTTGGCACGTACTTGCCCTTGGCTTCAGTTTCTATATCTACAAAGTGGGTGCAACCATTTCCCCTTCAAACAGTGGTTGTAAAAGGTTGAGAGAGGCTGGGCACAGTGGTTCATGCCTGCAGTCCCAGCTACTCAGGAGGCTGAGGCAGGAGGATCACTTGAGCCCAGGAGTTGAGGCTGCAGTGAGCTATGATGACGCCACGGTACTCTAGCTGGGGCAACAGGATGAGACCCTGTCTCAAAGAAATAAATAAATAAAAGAGGTTGACAGAGACCATGTTTCTTATCTCTTCCAGGTGTGGGGACCCATCCACAGGCTCACCACTCCTGACACGCGCAAGGCACCAACATCACCTCAAAGGTTGCCTGGATGCCCTCAGCCACTACAAGCAGTCGAAAGACCTGGCCCTGGCGGCTGAGGCACTGCGTGTGGCCCGGGGACACCTGACCTGCCTCACAGGTGGAGGGGGCACTGAGGAGATCCTGGACATCATCTTCCGGGACTTCTGCGTGGGCAAGTGAGGGGACTGCCCAGAGTCTTAGGGGACAGCTTGGTCCAGATGGGGTTCCCATTCACTCAAGGAAGAACCTGATTCCAAAACAGTGAAGCAGGCCAGATGCGGTGGCTCACACCTGTAATCCCAGCACTTTGGGAGGCGGAGGTGGGAAGATGGTTTCAGGACAGGAGTTCAAGACCAGGCTGGGCAACATAGAAAGACCCCATCTCTACAAAAAATAGAAAAATTAGCTGGGCATGGTGGTGCCTGCCTATACTCCTAACTGCTTAAGAGACTGAGGCAGGAGGATCACTTGAGTCTGGGAGTTGGAGGCTTCAGTGAGCTGTGATCACGGCACTGCACTCCAGCCTGGGCCACAGAACAAGACCCTGTCTCAACATAAAAACAAAACAGGGAAGCAGAACAATTGCCTTCAGGGGTCGCAAGGTCCCTGCAGGGACTTGCCAGAGATTCAGGCCCTGGAGTGGAGCTGAATGGAGGTCCCTCTGGGCGCCAGATGCCAGGAGACCTGAGTGGGACAGAGATAGGAAGATCTCAGGGGTTTTTGTTTCCTTGTTTTTAATTTATTTTGCAAATACCAAAGGAATGTATAAAACTCAGGTGATTCAGAATTGTTTTTCTTTTCTTTTTTTTTTTATTTTTTGGAAACAGAGTCTTGCTCTGTTGCCCGGGCTAGAGTGCTGTGGCGTCAGCCTAACTCACAGCAACCTCCAACTCCTGGGCTCAAGCGATCCTTCTGCCTCAGCCTCCCGAGTAGCTGGGACTACAGGCATGCGCCACTGTGCGCGGCTAATTTTTTCTATATATTTTTAGTTGTCTGGCTAATTCCTTTCTATTTTTAGTAGAGACGGGGTCTCGCTCTTGCTCAGGCTGGTCTCGAACTCCTGAGCTCAAACGATCCACCCACCTCGGCTTCCCAGAGTGCTAGGATTACAGGCGTGAGCCACCGCGCCCGGCCCAGAATTATTTTAATGTGGAAATCTCCCTTATCCCCTCTCCTTGGGTCATGGTTTAATGTGTCTTTCCAGAGCTTTCTCTGCACATTTGCATCCTTGTGGATGCACCTATCAAATATATGTTTGTCTTGTATCATATATATAAATCGTATTGTGTTATTGGTCTACAAGTTGTCATTTCTTTTTCCTTTTTTAGTACTAGTCTTGATATTTTGCCTCTTTTTAAAATTTTATCTTTTCTCTCTGTTTCTCTTATTTTTTAAGAAACGGGGTCTTGCTATGTTGCCCAGACTGGTCTCAAACTCCTGAGCTTAAGCAGTCCTCCTACCTCAGCCTCCTGAGTAGCTGGGACTACCGGCACATACTACCATGCCTGGCCAATTTTTCTTATTTTTTGTAGAGACGGGATCTTGCTCTGTTGCCGAGGCTGGAGTGCAGGGGTGCAATCTCAGTTCCCTGCAGCTGCCGACTCCTGGGCTCAAGCGATCCTCCTGCCTCAGCCTCCTGAGTAGCTGGGACTAGGCGTGCACTGCTGGGCCTGGCAACATTTTGCCTCCTCTGTCTTAAAAGTGACTTGCAAAATCCACAGACCCTGCTCCCTGTACAATCTTCCCTGAAGCTCAATCTTCATTCATTTATTCATTCACTCATTCACTCAGTGAATATTTATCAAACTCTTACGAAGAGCAGGCATTGTACACATGATTTTGTTGACTCTTCACAACAGCACGCTGCTGTGGGCATTTTGTTCCAGTGCTACAGATGAGGAAACTGAGGCTCAGAAAAGTAGTTATTTGCTGGAGGTCCCCCAGCTTTGGGGTTTGAACACAAGTCTGTTTGGATCCAAATTTGAGTTTGCTGAGGGCCCCTTGTGCAACAGACAGGGTGCTGGGGACACTGAGGGGAACCACTGGCATGGTCCCTGCCCTTGTTAATGAAGACATAGAGATCATTACAGTGAGGTCTGTTGGCTGCTTTGTGAGTTTGGGATGAGGAGGCCTGAGGGTGGGCTGCCTGGTGGAGGTAGGTACACTGTGCTGGGGTTTAAGTGGTGAGAAGAAGGAAGCCAGATGGAGCAGGCCGGGGAGAGTAGCCGAGACAGAGGACACTGCACGTGCAATGGCCCTGGGGTGGGAGCATCATGGTGTGTTCGCAGGACAGTGAGGTGGCCAGTGTCACTGGAGGAGAGTGAGGGAAGAGAGGAGAGGGCGATGAAGGGAAAGCAGGAACAGGGGTCCGGCAGGCAGACGTCTGAGAATCTGGGGCAGCCTGACATGGCGACGACCAGCCAGCAGAGGGCATTGTGCCCTAGCACAGGAGGTTCCTGGCGTCCCGCAGAGCTCGGGTTTTCTGCCCTGGGAGGGAGGACCCAGGCAGGCCTCCGTGCCCTAGCTGGTGGCATGTGCGTGGCTCACTCCTGGACAAGGCAGAAACTGAGTCCTAAATAGGGTCAGGATCTTTCCAAGACTCAGAAAAAGATCTCCACCGCCAGGGGTTGAATTTACATGCTGTCGGGTTTCACGGGTCACCAGGGCAGACAAAGGGCATGAACTGGATCAAAAGAGGGCCCCAGAATTGCCTGGCCGCCCCACTAAAGGGGACCCCTGCTCCTGTTCGTTCACAGGCTTTATGGCAATATACCACCATTCACGGATTCGTTTGTCCATTCAGGGAAAGGGTCACACCATGAGCTCAGTTCACGGGTATCATGACTGTTGTGCCAAGTTTGCAGACAAACAAATGCTGCCTAGAGGAGGAAAGCGATGCTGTGGGTCCAGCAGGGGGGCTCGACATGGGGAGGGTCAGGGAGGCCCCCAGGAGGGGCGAGCGGAGCCTGGGCCTGGTGGGGGACAGGGATGCTCTTTAGGCAAGATGCCTGGGCCCTGCCTCCCCCGGGGCCCTGGCTCACAGCTGGACTCAGGTCCTTGGCTACAGTCCCTTTTTTCCAAGAAGGGTGAGGTGGTTTGTGGGAAGCCGCCATGCATGGGGGTTATTTATAGAGGTTGCAGGAAATCCCCAAAGAGTCAGAGGCTCACCGGGCGGCCGGACCTCAGGGTCAGGGAGGGGCCCGATCTGCCAACTGCTCCCTGCCCAGCTCATCTCCAGCCCACCTCCCGAGGAGCCGCCATCCTGGGAGAGTCAGAGCCTCAGAGTCGGGCCTGGAAAGTGGGAGTGACGAGGCTGGGGGTCTGAAAGGAGGAGCAAGGGCTACATCTGGGGCATCAAAGAAGGCTGCCTGGAGGAAGGGATCTCTGGAGTTGGGCCTTGAAGGAGGAAGAGTTTGTCAGGCAAGAAAAAGATGTTCTAGTCTGAAGGCACAGCACAAATAAAGGCTTGGTGGGCCTTTTTTCAGAGAATTAAATGTCCAGGACAGCTGGAGGCAGAGCTGCACTGTGACTGTGTGTGTTTGGGGGTGGGGGAGCTAGACTTTGTTCTAAGGGCAATGGGGAGCCATGGATGGTGGGTGAGTGGGAGAGGGGCTTGGTCAGATTCTGTGATGGGAGGATCCCTCTGGACCAGCACAGGCTCCGTACCAGAGGCAGCAGCTGACGTGCAACGTGTGAGGGCTGAGCCAGGGCCAGGCCGTCGGGGCCGGTTAGGAGAATTCCAGATCTTAGGGTGCTCTGGATGGCACAAAGTGCCCAAAGCTCAGAGACCTGCACCCATGTATCTGCGGGGTTTAGAAATATTATTATTATTATTGCACCCATTTCTTGGATGAGAAAATGGAGGCTGGGATTGACTGAGCCAAGGTTCAAACCGAGGGTTGGTTGGCTCTAGAACCCCAAATCGGGCCTTGTGAGGCTGCTCAAACTGGCCAGCATCAGGACTCTGGGCTGCCTGGACAGTAGGCGCAGGGTCAGGGACGTCCCCGCTTCCTTGGGGCCTCCGGCCCAGCCTGTCTGGGCAGCCCGGCGGGCTGACCCCCCTGCCCTGGCTTGGCGGGGCCCCAGCCGAGTGTTTCCTGCAGTGACCGTCTCTCGCCCGCGTTTCCGTATCCCGGAAATATCGCTCCTTTGTCCCTCCAGACAAGCCTTCCCTAAGCGTGGCGCTGCCAGCCCTGGCTCCTCGTGACTCACCCCCTCCCTGCCCAGGGTCCCAGGGGATGGGCTGGGAAGGAACCAAGGGGACGCGGGTGAGACAAGCTGAGATTCTAGAAAACAATTTTTAGGCAGTTTTTCCCTCGAAGGCCATTTGCTTGACGTCTTGGAGTTTTTCCTTCTTGGGGATAAAGTCCTGGGGATGAGGTTGCTAAGCCAAAGCGTTTGGGCATCTTTAATTTTATTACATGATGCCAAAATAGTTTCTGGAAGGGCCACAGTAGGATTTGCATTTCTACCAGTCCTGTTGGAAAACGCTCTTTTCTCCACATCTTCACCCACACTGGGTGTTATGGCTTTTTAAATTGTTTTCAGCCCGGTCTGTTGGGTGCAGTGTGTTTTCCTTGTATTCCTCCAATTTACTTTTCCCTGGCTACTCCCCAAACGGACATTGGTGCCTTTTCTGGAATCTCATGGCACCGCAAAAGCAAAACAAAACAAAATGACTGGCCTGGGACTTTTGCGATGCTACTCCTAGACTCATTCTGATGAGGAGGAATTCCTGTAATTCACTAGGGCTGTGTTTCCTCAGAAATTGTTCTCAGTACCTGGGGAATTCTTTGCAAACCTAGAAAAACCAAAGCTACAAATCTGCTTTTTAAAAGAAATACCAGCTGGACGCAGTGGCTCATGCCTGTAATCCCAGCACTTTGGGAGCCTGAAGTGGGAGGATTGCTTGAGACTGAGAGTTCGAGACCAGCCTGGGCAACATAGTGAGACCCCATCTGTCCAAAAGATAAGAAAAATTAGCTGGGCGTGGCGGTGCGTGCCTGTAGCCCCAGCTACTCGGGAGGCTGAGGCAGGATCGCCTGAGCCCAGGAGTTCGAGGCTGTAGTGAGCTATGACTGTGCCACTGCACTCCAGCCTGGGCAACAAAGTGAGATCCTGTCTCTAAAAAAAGAAAACTAAACATTAACAAAAGAAATAGTAAATTTCACACATATTCTGTCAGCAGGCGGTGCTTTGCAGCCATTTCGTTAAACTCATTTTGGCCGTGATTTTGCTGGTTCCTCTTTCCACACAGAGACACCTGTGCCCTGAGGAGTGCTGGCCTCCCCCATGTTTGTTCCGGGGCGCAGGGTCTTCGGGCCTGGGGACCGTGGGGAGGTGTTTGCCAGCTTCCATCTTCTTTCTTTTTTTTCTCCCTCAAGGCAAAGTGGTGCCTTTTCGAAGCAGAAATCACAGCTCCAGAGTCTTTGAAGGGATTTGCTAACGTTTATTAAGTGCCACCAGCATTTCCGCAGCCGCAGGCAGGGCCGGGTGTGCGGGAGAGGGAAGGGCGGGGGGCTTCCCGCGCGGGCTGTGTATGTGGGGCCAGCGGGCGACCCTCAGCCCTGACGCTGTTCCCGAGCGGAGGCGAATGGCTTCCTGCTGTCGCCTCCTGGCGGGGCGCTGGGACGAGGAGGTCGGAGGAGGGAGGCGTCTGGGCGGGACGCTGCGGGCGCTGCGGGAGCCGGCGCGGGGGCGACGCGGGTGAGGCGTGCGCGGAAAGCGTGGGAAGGGGACTGAACACATGCGACGTTGGTGCCCGATGCGTGACATCGTCACTGCGTCTGTGCGACATCACCGCGGCCGTGGTGATGTCCTCGCCATGTCTGCCTGTGTGTGATGTCATCGCCGTGTCTACGGGCGAGGGGTCGCGCGGTGCGGGGCTGTGACAGGGTTAACGGTGCGGTGGGGCAGGTTGACCGACAGCGGCGGGGACGGCCGGGGCGGGGGCGGGGGGGGCTGCGTCAGGCACTGTGAGGACCTCGCTGCACCGTGTTCACGGACGGGCGAGTCTGGGCCACCTCTTGGTCCTCGGGCCTGGAGCCTACTCAGCCACTAGGGTAGGAAAGGAATGGCAGCAAGATAATCGATCAGACGGACGGAAGGACAAATCTTGCCTGGCCCTGGAGACTCGTGGTCAGTGGCGGCAAGATGTCCTGAAGACCTGCACCCTTCCTCCTCCCACACTGGGCCCCGGGATTATGAGACTGAGTGTGTTCCTCCCCATGAGACAGAGGAAGAGACTGAGGGTCAGAGAGGGCACCTCATGAGCCCTAAGCCTCCACTGCAACTTGTCTAACTCTCCCCGTGTTTCCTAAGCTTCTGAAGATACTGAGAAGTTGCCCCAAGGCCCCTGCTCATGCTGCCCCCCAACCCTCACCCCACTGGTCCCCAAGGTGGAGTCTCAGTCTCCCTCTTTTGTCTATACAGAATTGAGCGAGGAACCTGCCCCTTCTCACACACCCTCCATGGCTCCCCAGCTCCACAGGACAAAGCCCGAGCCTCAAGATCTGGCATTCAACGCTCCACCCCGCTGCCTCTGCCAGGCCTCCCCATCAGGGAACCCAACCCTGATGAAGTCCCAACAATTGCAAGGGCCTTCACGCCACTTCCGTGCACCACCCCCCATGCCTTCGCGCGAGCCTCCTGCTGTCTGGAGTGCCCTTCCCCCTCCCGGGCCTGGCAAAGTTTCTCCGAGGGGTCACGGGTTGGCGCAGAGGCTGTTTCCTGCTTGGGGAGGAGGGGGCTGCAGCCAAGTCTCACTTCCGCTGGGTCCTCTCCCTTCCTTCCCCCTCTTCCCTGGAGCCCGAGTGGCCTCACGTTCTTTGGCTGGCTCTGGTCCCCGTCGCTGGCCCCAGGCTCCATCCTCAACCAGGAATCACCCAGCTCCAGTCCTCACTGCGATGGCCACGCCTTCCCCACACCCCACTTTCCACAGACAGAAGTCCCCATCGTTGTGCCCCAGCTCCCACCCGTCATCCGCTAGTCTGTTCGCCAGCAGTGGCCCAAAGGGGCCTGTGAATGCCTGCGCTGGGTCGTGTCCCTCCTCCGCTCGCAGCCCTCTCAGGGCTCCCGAAGTCCTCACAGTAGCCACAGGCCCTGGCCACCTCCCTGCCCTCACCTCCTTTCCTGTCCTCGGCAGGCCCTCTGCTCCAGCCACACTGGCCTCCTGCTTCAAACGCCCCAGGCAGGGCCTTTGCACAGGCTGGGCCCTCTGCCTGGTGCTCCTTTTCCGGGATCTCCCCATAGCTTTGCCCTCACCTCCTTTAGGTCTCTGCTCAAATATCACCTCCTCTGTGAAGCCTGCCCTGTCCCCCATGGAAAAATTGCAACCTTCACCCGAACTAGAGTGCAGGGGCATCATCATAGCTCACGGCAGCCTCCAACTCCTGGCCTCAGCCTCCCGAGTAGCTGGGACTGTAGGCAGGTGCCACCACGCCTGGCTAATTTTTCTACTTTTTGTAGAGATGGGGTCTTGCTATGTTGTCCAGGCTGGTCTTGAACTGCTGGCCTCAAGTGATCCTCCTGCTTCAGCGTCTCAGAGTGCTGGGACCACAGGTGTGAGCCACTGTGCCCAACCAAAATTCCAACCTTTTCACACTTCCTTATAGCTTTTCCGTCTTGCTTGTCACCAAAGGGCCCTCGAATCGCACATTCATCTGGTTTATCATCCGTCTGCCCTACTAGACTGTGAACCCCAGGAGGGGCGGTTTCTGTGCCTCGTTCCCTGCTGTGTCCCCAGCACCCAGCAGCTGCTCAGTAAATGCAGACCGAGTGAGCAAGCAAACATAGCCGCGATAACAACGAACCTGAGCGGTGCTCACTGTGCGCCCTGCTCGGAGCCGGGGAGCCAGGGCCGAACTCCCACCCGAAGCCTTTCACATGACACTTTTTGCCATAGCCGGCCACTGAGGCCCTGGACAAAGCTTTGCTCGACGTTTGTCCGTATGTCCATTTTGTAGTCTTAACTTTGTCTGCAAAGGACACTCATTCTCATCAAGCAAAGAAAGCCTGCGCACTTGTCATTGAGAGAAGGTGACTAAAAGTGTTCAGTCAGAGCAAGACCTTGTGCCTAAGTTCAGCTGGTGCAGGGCCCTGGGTCTCCCGTTGATCTGTGAGCTTGGGGGACATGCGCGTGTTCTGCTCCTGCTCGGGTGAGTTAGCACGAGCTCAGAGTTTCTCTCTCTCTCTCTCCTTGGCTAACCACGATACTAATGAGAATTTTTTTTTTTTTTTTTTGAGACAGAGTCTCACTGTGTTGCCCGGGCTAGAGTGCCGTGGCGTCATCCCAGCTCATAGCAACCTCAAACTCCTGGGCTCAAGAGATCCTCTTGCCTCAGCCTCCCGAGTAGCTGGGACTACAGGCATGCGCCACCATGCCCGGCTAATTTTTTCTATGTATTTTTAGTTGTCCAATTAATTTCTTTCTAATTTTAGTAGAGATGGGGTCTCGCTCTTGCTCAGGCTGGTCTCGAACTCCTGAGCTCAAACAATCCGCCCGCCTCGGCCTCCCAGAATGCTAGGATTACGGGCGTGAGCCACCGCGCCCGGCCTACTAATGAGAATTTTTTTAAAATTCAAATTTAGTGTTAATTTTTTTAGAAATGGGGTCTCGCAACATTGCCCAGGCTGGTCTCGAACTCCTGGGCTCGAGCAATCCTCCCACCTCGGCCTCACGAGTAGCTGGGACTGTAGGCACGTGCCACCACGCACCGCTAAACTGAGACTTTCTGGAGGCGTAGAAAGAATCAGAGCGGAAAAGAAAGATCAGCTCTCCCAGCGCGTGGGGTGGCTGCTTTGATGCTGGACTTTGGCCGTGTCTTTCATTAGGTGCCTCTGAAATTGTGGGTGGGTGTGGGGGCTCCATCTGTAATCGCAGCGCTTCGAGGCTGCAGTGAGCTATGATCCTGCCACTTCACTCCAGCCTGGGCAACAGAGCAAGACCCTGTCTCTCTAAAACAATGATAATGATAATTTAAAAATAATTAAAAGCCTGGTGACACGCTCCAAGTTGCCCGGTGAAGCCAGAGCTGACAGCCCCAGCCCACTTGTACCTGGTCCCCCTCTGGGGGGGGGGGAGCGGCCCTTCCTGCGACCCTGAAGAGAGAAGCTGCCACGGCCCTGGCTTAAGTGCACATTGTTTTCTCAGCGGGGCGACGTCATTTAGGGTAAACAATGTCAAGTGCTTCTCCGGTTTTCAGTCCAGACAGTCCTGGGCTGGGAGCCCGGCCCTGGCCCTGACTTGCCACGCTCATGACCCCGGGCTGGCTACTTCCCTGGGGCCTCAGTTCCCTCCTCTGAGAAGTGGGGATAATAATAGGTCCTCCTTCCTTGCCAAGATGCGGGGGGAATTGTGTTTGCCTGGGGCAGGGATCTCCTCCCCACTTTCTTGTTTCCCTTTTTGGGGGCTTTCTGGGGCTGAGAACTTTCTCCCAGGCAGACCCAACTATAGCAAAGGGGGTAAGGGGCAGCTTGGCAATGGGGTGAGCTCCCCATCAGAGGGGGTATGTAAGAGGCATGGTGGAGCTGGATCTGGACGTGGAGCACCCTGGGGAGTTGGCAAACCTCTGACAAAAGCCTGGTGGCAAAACAGTCACAGGCCCAGTCTTTGGAGTCAAGGGGATCTGACTTCAAACATCCTGGTGCCTCCTGAAGCCTCAGCGCCTGAGCTGCAAGTGGCAACGCCCATCCCTGACTCCTCCGCACCCGAACGCGAGTGGCCAGGACCCTGGAGGGAGCACAGGGTGCTCTTGGGAAGGCGGCCTGAGTCACATCCCCGTGACGCACACGGTGTAGTCTGACGGATGACCAACCCAGGAGGAGGTGACGGGGCAAAGGCAACGAGCCATGACCTCAGCGTGTGCCGGGTGCCCTCGATGCACCGCCCTGGGGCCCTGACTCCTTGTGGACGGCACTTTACAGTTAGCAAAGTGTTTCCAACTCTTGACTTCAGAGACTCCCATTTTTTTTTTTTTAAGAGACAGGGTCTCGCTCTGTCGCCGAGGCTGGAGTGCAGTGGCCTTATCACAGCTCACTGCAGCCTCCAACTGCTGGGCTCAGCGATGCTCCTGCCTCAGCCTCCTGAGTAGCTGGAGCTCCAGGCATGCGCCACCACTGCCTAATTGTTTCATTTTGTGTAGAGACAGGGTCTCGCTATGTTGCCCAGGCTGGTCTTGAATTCCTGGGCTCAAGTGATCGTCACGCCTTGGACTCCCAGAGTGCTGGAGCTCCAGGCGTGAGCCACCACACGGGGCCAGACTCTTCTCTCACCCTGTCCAGCTTCTGGGTCTTTGCCTTGGCTGTTCCTGCTGCCTGAAACACGGTTCCCCCTCCTTTCCCTGAGGCAGTTCCTTCTCATGCTCCAGCTCAAAGACCCAGGAGAAGGGTCTCCTTGCCTCGCTTGCCTGTTTGGAGTCTGATCACTGGGTTCGTGTAGCAGCTCTGCCGCTCCCTGGCTGTGTTACCCGAGGCACAATGCATGCCCTCTCTGGGCCTCACTTTCCTTATCTGGAGAGTGGAAATCATAGTAGCTTGCCCACCAATTAAGGTTGTGAGGATTAAATAAGTTAGCTTATTTAATCAACGTGCTTAGAACTGTGTAGCGCTCACAATGGTGCCTAATAATTGTAGACTCTTGGTTTGTCTTATCATGACACATTGTCTGTCTGGCCCACTATTCAGGGAGCTTCATGAGGACAGAGCTGGGTGTGTCTTGGTTACTGCTGTGTCCCCCAGGCCAGCACAGGGCCTAGTATACAGCAGACACTCAATTAAGGAAACAGCAAATGTGATATCAGCCTCCCTTCATCCCCACTTTTGGTCCTATCTTCACCCACCGCCCTGAGACTGAACCACCTCAGCCTGCCCAGCGTCTTACCTGGATGGGGCTGCAGGGTTGCCTACAGGGGGCCTCTGGGACTCCAGGATCCTCCTCTTGAATTCCTCCAGATCAGCTGTGTCTAGAGAGAGAGGGAGGGGTCAAGCTTGACCTACTGCCTCAGCAGCCCCTGTCCCCAGGGATGGACTGGCAGCCCAGGGCAGCAGGACTGAGGTGGGGTGCAAAGTGGAAAGGAGCCCCTCCCCTACTTCCTGGCTCTGCCCTGTGTCACTCACCGATGGGCGGGGGGTTGGGGGCAGGCCCCACAGGTCTCGGCACTGACATCGGCTGTGACTGTGGGAAGAATGGTGGAAGGAGGTTGGCAGGAACCAGGACCCCTGAGCTCCAGCCCCAGCAAGGTTCCTTCCAGGGCAGGGCAACAGAGCCCCATTTAGAAAGACACACGTGATAATGAACGCAGTCACCTGCACCCACCGTGAGCCCTCAAATGACCTGGGGACTCCAGGGACTGGCTTCCCTCGGCAGTCCTCAAACACCCCATTCCGCAGGGCTGCCCTGCCTCAGTCTCCCTCACAGCCTCCTCGCCCATCCAGTCCCAGTCCGTGGCCCCAAGTGAACACACCCACTCGCCGTGGCCCCTGCAGTCTGAAGCCAGCTGGACCCTGGCCCTAACAGCTGTCCTTGGGACAGCCTCAGCCAATGCCCTGAAACCTGACATGCCAGCCAGTTCTGAACTCAGTCGCCTGGTCCTGACGTGAAAACTCAGCCTCCCTTAGAGAGTCAGGCCCCAACCTGGCCCCAACTCCAATTACAAACTGGACCTGACCAGATCCAACTCTGGTTCCAGTCATCCCCTAGACCTGACGTCTATGATGAGCCCATTTCTCCGGTCCCAGCCCTTGGTCCCACCATGCCCACCCATAAACACCTGCCCGGCTCCACACCCGATTCCAGCCTCTGCCCAGCTCCCACCTGAAACCCATCCTCAGTCCCAATCCCAGCCCAAACCTCACTCCAAACCTAAGGCTCTATGGAGCCCTGACCTTAAACTTGAAACAGCCCCAGGCCCATCACTTACCCCAAGTTCACCTCAACCCAGCCCCACCCCAAGATCAGCATCCACACTAGCTTCTACTCTACATCCAGGTCTGACCCTCACTCCAAACCCAATGTCGCCCCAGCCCTCACCCAGGGTCGCCCAATGCTTTAACTCAACTATATCCCAATTCCAGCCCAACCCAACCTCAACTCCTAACCCATTGTCAATACCAATCCCGATCTCAATGCCAATGGAATTTGAAATTCCACCCTTGTCCCCAAACCTCTAACCATCTCTAGACCCACCAGCCACCTGCACGTACCTCATCCTCGCTGCAAGTTCAATGCCTCAACTCAACTCAATTCTGAAGTCACCAAGGTCCAAGATTCATTATTCACCCAACTCTATGCCCAACAACCACCCTACATATGGCGCCTGACTCAATTTGTAACCTTTTCTCACAATCCAAACTCCAAATTCAACCCCAAGTCTGAGATCAATGGAGTCCTAAATGGAACCCTAACTTTAACCCAAACCAACTCTAGGCGTAGCGGTGACCAGGAGCTCATCTCAGCCCAGCATAAACACAAATTCAATGTCCACGTCAACTCTTCCTCTAGACGTCCTCTCAGCAGTGTCGCTCCCAACCCTTACCACTCCCTCCAATTCCTCAACTCAACTCGAGGACAGTCTCAACCGTGATCCGAATCCCAGTCCTAGCCTCAACCTTAGATGAACCCCTAATCCTAACCCTAAATCAATTTGAGGCCCACCAGCATCCCCTAAACTTAACCCCAGCCTCAATTCTTAACCTTTCTCAGCGTCATTACCAATTCCAAACTCCACCCCAATTCTGACACCAATAAAATCCTACATTCATACACAACTGTAATCCGAAACCCAACTCTCGAGTCAATAGCCACCAGCAAAGTCACCCAACCTCAGTTCCAAATCCACCTTCAATGCCTCAACTCAACCCAATCCCAAAGCAATGGAAATTCTAGATTCACCTGTTCACGCAACCTGCTCTTTAAATCAACTGGACCCTGATCCTAAACACCATCCCTGGAACGACTCTGAGCCAGTCCCCCAAAACCTGAAATCCAAAGCCAATTCTGAACTTAAAACCTGCTAAAAATCTGAGCCCAACATGAAAACCCAACCTCCCTTCAGAATCAACCCCAACTCCAATTGCAGCTGGATGACAAACCCAGACCCCACGGCAACTGGAGGCACAAACCGACCTTGACTTCCAGTCTTAACCCTACTCCCATCTCAGCTCCTACCTCCATTCCAGACTCTGTCCTGGTCCTAACACTGGTGAGCGTCTCGAGGGACCTGAAACTCACCCAGTGTAGACCAGGAACCTCAAACCCGCTCCAAACTCAAGTTCAATGTCACCACCACCAGCTTGGCGCTGGATCCGATTCCAGTGCAGCCTCCCGGGCCCTGCCAGCCTACCTTGGCCTTGATGCAGGTGTCCAGGGCCGCGTTGCTGATGGCCAGCTGCATCTTCAGCTGTTCTGCTTCTCGCTTCTTCTCCTCCAGCTCCTTGGCCATGCCGTCCCGCTCCTTCCGCAGCACCGCCTTCTCCTCCAGCGCCAGCTGCGTCTGCCGGGCGCACTCGGCCTGGAGCTTGGCCTCCCGGGCCTGAGCCTCCTTCTCCGCCTTCTCTCTCGCCTCCTGACTGGCCCGCAGCCCCTGCTCGGCTTCCAGCTTCTGGCGCTGGAGGTCTGAGTTCTCGCGGGCCACGCGCTCCACGCCGGCCCTGAGGCTCCGGGCCAGCTCTTCCACCTTGGTGCTCATGAGGCTGGGCATGTGGTCGCAGCTTCTCCGGATGGAGGCCACTTCTGAGCCCAGGGGGTGGTAGAGGCCGTAGCTCAGGGAGTCCAGGGTGCGTGGGATGATGGAATCCCGCCACAGGTTACGCAGATCCGTCTCAAACTTGTCCTTGTCCAGCGGGAGGCAGAGGGCTTGCACCTTTTGCAGCCGGTCCTCGGCCAGCTGCCGCTCCTGCCGCTGCTGCTCCCGGGCTTTCGAGCACTCGGCCAGCTGTTCCTCCACCACGCGCCTGCTCAGCGACAAGCCTTCCTTGTCTTTGGTGCAGACCGCCTTCTCCTTGGCCAGCTCCACCTCCATCGTCTTGGCTTTCTGACCCAGCATGAGGAGCAGCGCTAAGGGAACAAGACCACGAGACCCAGGAAGATCAGCAGCTGCTGAGAGCGCTGTGCAGAGCCCCGCCCCAGCTCCCCGTGGCTTTGGCGCTCACCGTCGCAGCTCTTGTTCGTCTCCTTGAGATGATCTTGGCACTGCTTCTCGCTCAAGATGATCGCAGCTACGTACCGCTGATTGTTCGCGTACATGGCCTGCTCCGGTTCGGGGTCGGGGTGGGGACAGCACAGGACAGAGCTCAGTGGCCAGCCCTCCCTGGGACTGCCCAGACCCAGATCGGGCACCCAGATGGCCGGCAGAGCCGAGTTCGCAAGGGCATTGCTCCTGCGCGGGGATGTTTCTGTGATCTGCAGGAGAGTTGACGATCCCTACCGCTCATGCGCGCGTGGGGCGCGCTGCCCGGCCGCACGCCGAGCTGCGACTCCCACTGCTCCGAAATGGAAAGGAAACAGTACGGTGCCTGCTACGGCTGCGTGGGCTTGGAAAGCGTGACACTCACGTTCATGGTCAAGTGATCGCGACAAGGATGAGTTACAGCTCAACTGTGTTCTCACCCCAAGTCACATGTTCATGTCCCAACCTCCAGTACCTCAGAGGACGGCTGTATTGGGAGGTAGGGGTTTTTTTTGTCTCTCTCAGTCACCCTGGCTGGAGTGCAGTGGCATCATCATAGCTCACAGCAACCTCCGACTCCTGGGCTCAAGCGATCCTCCTACCTCAGCCTCCCGAGTAGCTGGTACTACAGGCACGCACCACCACGCTCAGCTAATTTTTTCTATATGTTTTTGGTTGTCCAGCTAATTTCTTTCTATTTTATATTTTAGTAGAGATGGGGTCTTGCTCTTGCTCAGGCTGGTCTCAAACTTCTGACCTCAACCAATCCTCCCGCCTTGGCCTCCCAGAGTGCCAGGATTACAGGCGTGAGCCACCGCGCCCGGCCTAATAAAGCCATTTTTAAAGAAAGAATTTACAATTCTGGGCCGGGCGCAGTGGCTCACCCTGTAATCCCAGCACTCTGGGTGGCCGAGGCGGGAGGATCGATTGAGCTCACGAGTTCCAGACCAGCCTGAGCAAGAGCGAGACCCCGTCTCTACTAAAAATAGAAAAATTCCCCCCACCAGCGAAGGCTACAACCCGGCGGCGGCCGTGGCGGTCACCAAGCTGGGGCCTGTGGCATCCCGGGAGCTGGCTGGGCCTCCCACGGACGCCCCGTCGGGCCTGCCCAGCAAGAGTGTGCTCCGCACGTTGGTGCTGAGCAGCAGCCTGCAGCCGCAGAGTGTCTCACCAACGACAGCAGGGGCAGATGCTGGGCAAGGGCTACCAGATGGTGCTGTGCCCCAGCTGCTCGGCCACCAGCAAGCCCACGTCCGCCTGCCCTTCCACAGATACGGCCTGCCCAGCGGACACGCGGGTGGACGGACAGGGCGCTGCAGGGGGAGGCAGCCCACAGAACAGGGTGGGTGGCTCGTGGGGGCGCCCAGCCCTGCCCTGTGCCCGCCAATGCCCACAGGGAAGCCGGGCTGGCCTCTGCCATGTCACTGCCGGTTGGGGGGTGGCAGGGTGACCTCAAGCACCAAGGCCCTGTCCCACTATCGGCTGCCCCAGGACCTGGGGAGGGCCCGGGGACAGCAGCTGACGTCCACGCCTTCCTCTATCGAAGCTGGCAGAGGCAGGGAGAGAGAAACCACTTAAAAACAGGAATGGTTCTTTCTGGGTCTCCTGGGAGAGGGGCTCAGGCCAGGGTGGGACGCAGGAGGAAGTGGGACGCTCCAGAGTCAGGGTGAGGGTCAGAGCAGCCCCCAGGGGTCAGGTGGCTGAGTTTTCCCACACGACCTCCCCAGTCTCCTAGAAAAGGAGCAAAGAAAGGGGGCCTATAGGAAGTCACTGGGCCCAGAGTGTCCCCCCACCAACCAAGCCAGGTGAAGACCACTCTGATAGAGGCCCCAGGGACTACTGATTCCCCTTTCCTCCCACCCTCCACTCCCACCATTCCTTCCTAACCCATCCCCATTCTCCAAACCCTGGACTACCATCTTCCCCCTTCCCTCCAGTACATCTTACAGGGCTACTGGACACAGTTGTGCAGGTTGTGCACTGCACAAGTGCACCTCATCCAAGGAGACACCACTGGCATCCTAAACTTGTATATTTATTACAATTTTCCACATTTTGAGGAAGGAACACCATTTTCCTATTCACACAAAGGCGCCATAGGAGCTAACAAAGGGCCTGCAATCTTAGACCCCATTTAGAGGGACCCTACTTTGCCTTCTTCGGGGAGTCTCCTGGGAGCCAGTGAGGGGGCAACCTACTGGTTTTAACAGGGAGGCCCAATCCAACTCCGTTCCTGCAAATGACCCTCCAAGGCCTGTCCCACACCATCGAGGAGGGGCAGGTAGGCAGGAGTCCACCCCTCCATCAAGTCCGCAAGGCCCCAAGTCCCCAAGTCCCCCAAGTCCTGGCCCCTCTGGTGCTCCAGAAGCGGTACTGTATCTCTCTCCAAGGCCTGTTCAAGCACTAAGCGCATTTATAAATCTCTGAGAATGTTTTTTTTATAGAAAAATTGACCATTATATTCTACTGTGAGAAATGCAGTCTGCACTATATTGTTTTAAAAATGAAGAGAAAGAAAAAAAAGGAAAACACAGAGAAAAAAAAGAAAGAAAAAGAAAAATCAGCCAGGCATGGTGACGTGAGCACCAGTAGTCCCAGCTGCTCGGGAGGCTGAGGCAGGAGGCTCGCTGAGCCCAGGAGTTGGAGGCTGCAGTGAGCTACGATTGCGTCTCTGCACTCCAGGCTGGGTGACAGAACGAGACCCTGTCTCTAAAAAGCAAACAAACAAACAAATACCAAAATCACATTTCTTAGCACCACCAGGGCAGCAGGAACACCAACATTTGTCCTCACTAAGATCAGAGACAAATGGAGCCGCCATGGCTGGGACAGGGTGGGGGCTGTCTCCCCACACCGTGCCCCCTGTCTCGGGGCTGGGGCTGGGTGGCCGCGACCACGGGCCCCAGGATCCCCGGAGATGGAACCCTGAGGAATTGCAAGCAAGTGGAATTTGTCAACTTGAAGGTAAAAAAAAAGAAAAGAAAAAAAGCTATGATTTTCAATTTTTCTTTTCTTTTTTGAGACAGAGTCTCACTCTGTCACCCAGGCTGGAGCGCAGCGGCGTCGTCACAGCTCACTGCAGCCTCCAACTCCTGACCTCAAGCGATCCTCCCGCCTTGGCCTCCCAGAGTGCTGGGACTACAGGTGTGAGCCACCGCGCCTGGCCAAGCTGTTAAGTTTTAAAAAGGCAGTCTTAGGTGTCTAATATTCTATGATGGGGGGCCCACAATTCTGGGGGTCATTGGAGCATCTACAGTTGTATGATCCTGGGCTCGGCGGTGGCATGCAACATGGAAGACCCAAATGGGCCAAGTCCCCGGAGCTAAGAGGTCTGAGAAGGCTGTCATGGCCTGGGGGTGGGGGGCAGAGGGGCCACATAGCCCTACCCTGCTGTGTGAGGGGGACCTATCCCATTCTGGGGGTCTGAGAGGGGATTCACCATACCCTGGGGATTTGGGGGAACACTGCCCTGGGGTTCTGGGAGGGAGAGACAGGGCCCCCCTAGACAGTTGTGATGGGGCTGAGCACAACTTCCGGCCCAGCGCGGGGGCCGGGTGGTCTTCCCACCTTCCCCCTCCCACCTCCACCTCCCATCTCTCACCCCACCTCGCCCCTACGGAGGAGCCCCCACGCCGCCTCCTCTCGGTGTCTTAGGGCGGCAGGACCCCTCTAGGGGAAGCGGGTGTGAGAGGATTGTCGAGCGTGTTTGACACAAACGGGTGGTGCCAGGGGCAAAGATCTCCATGAGACCCCACGTGCACAGCTGCGGCTGTGCCCAGAGCCCACCTGTCTCTGTCCTGTTGGGGAAACCACCTACCTTCTCAGGCCCCCATTTCCATGACTGCAAAAGGGTGTCCAACTTCTCCCTGTCCCCGGGATTCAGCGATAACATGTTTCTAACGCGGGCACCCAGCATCGGGAGAATTTGAGCCCTTTGTACATATTATCCATGAGTAAGAACAAAATGCTCTGAGCTTTTGTTCAGCCACTTCTCATCTGTAGCTAGTGTGTGCTGGAACATTCTGGATGCTCTATCTGTGCCTATTAAGTCATGGGCTCAGGGCTGCCTGTTAACATATAGGATGCCCAGTTAAACCTGAATTCTGGAGTGGCAATGAATAATTCTTTTAGTTATAAGTATATCCCAAATATTGCATGGGGTCGGGCATGGTGGAAGTGAGGCCGAGGCAGGAGGATCGCTTGAGGCTGGGAGTTTGAGACCAGCCTGGGCAACAGAGCAAGACCCTGTTTCTACAAAAAATAAGAAAAATTAGCCAGGTGTGCTGGTGCGTGCCTGTTGTCCCAGCTACTTGGGAGGCTGAGGCAGGAGGATCGCTTGAGCCCAGGAGTAGGAGGCTGCAGTGAGCTGTGATCATGCCACTCACTGCACTCCAGCTGGGGATAGCATGAGACCTTGTCTCCAAAAAATTAAAGCAAACAAACAAACCCCACCAAATACTGCATGGGATGCAGTTATACCAGAAACAGAAGCGCATTGCTTATCTACGCGGCCTTCTGTGGCCATCCCGTCTGGTGGGTGAGGAAACCCAGGCTCTGAGAGTGATGTGACTTGCCCAGGGTCCCCGAGGTGAGCGTCGGGCTGGCAGCCTTACCCGGTCGCCCTGGCACTGGCGGAAGCTGGCGTTGATGCGGTCCAGGTCGCGGCGGGCGCTCAGCAGCAGCTGCATGATGGCGTTCTTGGCGCTGGAGGTGAGGTTGAACTCCCTGGACAGGTTGGTCAGGGAGACGGTGAGCCTCTCCACCTGGCTGTACAGGTCCTCGGCCCGGCGCTCGGTGGCCTGCAGGTTGGACTCGGTGCTCACGTGCACGTTGCCGTAGACCATGAAGAGGACGAGCCCCAGGATGATGAGGAACTGGATGAGCGACACGAAGAGGAAAAAGTAGCGCAGGTAGTACCAGCAGCCCCGAGGGCCGCCGCCCGTCCGCGCGTACGGCCCGCCGCGATCCATGGCCAGACCCGTCTGCGGCCGGCGACTGTCCCCGCGCTCTGGCCGCGCAGGGCCGTGTTTATATTACCTCTCTTAATACTTCCTCCGCCTGGCTCCTTCCTGGCCGGGAGGAAACGGGGGCTGCGGGTTATCACAACACTCCCACCCTGGCTGTGAGCGGACAAGGCGGAGGACAGGGCGGTCGGCCTGGCGGGCCTCTCTGGCTGTCACCAGCTGGGGCCCCCGAGGGAAGGGCAGACTCCCCCGCCCCACTTGGCCCTGGCGGCCTGTGCTCGGCCCGGCGCTGTTCTCGGCATTCGCCTCATATCGCTTGCTTAGTGGTCCAGAGCCAGCTGCTGTCGCCCTCGTGTGGAGGGGAAACTGAGGCACAGGAAGGAGAAAGCACTGTTCTGGCATTTCATGCTGTTAGTTCCCGGAGCCAGTCTTGACCTCGAAGCAGGCTGGCTGCAGACGTGTGCCCGCTTCACTGGGGCAGCTGCCTACTGAATGGATAAAATGTGGGGAAGGCTTAGCCCAGGAATGGACAAACACTAGGTGCTCAGTAATTGCACACGAGGGCCTCACAGAGAGCTGAGCCCTGGATGGCGGTGGCGCTGTTCTCCAAGCTCTGTCATCCTACCCAGCATCCCGCTCACCCATGCAGGTGCTCAATAAGTGCTCTGGAAACAGCAGCACAAAGAGCAATGAACTTGGGGCCGGCAAGAGCCGGCTGCAGCCCGTGTGAGCTCAGGGAGGGGCCTCGCCTGTCTGGGCCTCGGTTTCCCCCTCTGTCGGATGGGGTGTGCCTGGCGCCCGGGTCGCCTTGTAGCTGTTGTTATTGTGATAGTTTCCTGTTTGCGGTATTATTTGGGGGGCTCCGTGAGACGGTGAGTGAGAAGTGTCAGATCGGTGGGGGCCAAGCTTTCTGTCGCCTGACACTCCTGACACTCAAAACCGCAGAGTCTTCTGGGGTCACCGCGGGGTCGCCCCCCAGGCAGGCAGGGCGGGGATTTGGACACCGAGGAGCAAAGGATGCTGCCCATCCCCCGGAATCAGGAGCGAGTCCCTCTTTGCTCACTGCACGCTGGTTCCTGCCAGGGCCCCCAAGAGGCGTCAGCCCCAGGCCTGGCCATAGCAGCTCTCAGTCTTGGGATGGGACAGGCACTCCTAGGCCCGTGGGGTCAGGACTGGCTGAGAGGGAGTGAGGGTGTCAGGGAGCTGGAAAGGAGGCTGGACCCCGGACGAGTGGGCGACAATAATACATCGCCGTCCACCGCCTGTGGGGGGCACAGCAGTGTGAAGGCCGCGGCATGGGGACCCATCCCCTCACTAGGTAATGGGGAGGGAGGTCGCCGGCAGCGGAGAGGGGTCCTCCAGGGTGGTGCGCAGTGAGGCGGGTGTTGAGTTGGGAGGGAGGAAGTTCCCAGGGGTGGGCAGGAAACCCAAGTCTGACCTTTGGCCTTTGCAGTTACCCGGTGGTTCCTGATTCCGGACCCTTCCCAGCTAGTGGGGGAAGGCGGGTTGGGGGCTGCAGCTGGTGCCCAACCAGCTGTTTCTCCAGGTTGGCCACCCCCCCCCAGGAATCCCCCAGAGCAGGGCGGGGGGCAACGCAGGGGGAGTGGACACAGGGTTACCATTTAGGGCTCTGGAGTTAAGTTCTGGCTGTGCCACCTACCAGCTTTGTGACTTTGGACAAGTGACTTCCTCTTCTGGAGCCTGTTTTCGCCTGTCTCAGGTGGAGACAAGGCTGGGCATGGTGGCTCACCCCTGTAAGCCCAGCACTTTGGGAAGCTGGGTTGGGAGGATCGCTTGAGGCCAGGAATTTGAGACCGGCCTGGACAACATAGTGGGACTCAGTCTCTACAAAAAAATTTTTAAAAATCAGCCAGTGTGGTGGCATGTGACTGTGTCCTAGTTGCTAGGGAGGCTGAATCAGGAGGAGCAGTTGAGCCCAGGAGTTGCAGGTTGGAGTGAGCTGTAATCACGCCGCTGCACTCACTCTAGCCCAGGGGACAGAGTGAGACTGTCTCCAAAAAAAACCCAACCCTCCCCCCAAAAGACAACTAAAAACTAAAAAAATTTAAGATGGAGACAACATAGCAGGTTGTAAAGTTCTTGACACCATGACTGGCAATGCTCAGCCTTAATAAATGGTGTTTTTTTTTTTAAGGTGGAAATGGCCTGTGTCCCTGGCAAGATCATTCCAGAGGGAGAAGGTGAGTGCCTGGTCCAAGGATTCCCATGGAGTCAGATGCCTGGGCCCTGATGTGAGCGTTTGGTTTTTTCCTGAAAACAATTTGTCTTGTCCACAGGAAATTTTGCACATGAATCCCTCTGAATTCTCTTGAAGGGTCATTGCAAAATCAGGCTTTGGTTTTAAACTCTTTTGTTTTTCTAAATAATAAAAAAAAAAACAATTGGTTTGGTCTTATTTGTTTGAGTGAAGGGAAAACTGTCATGAGGAAGTTGACTCTGTGTCACTCCCTGGAAATTGACACTGAAGTCTGCATGGGGACATGAGGCTTAAAAACCAAAAAACAAAGCAAAACAAAAACAAACAAAAAACAAACCAAGAAACCCACACAGGACTTCAGGAAGATCCTTGTGGAAGTGATGTTCCGATGAGGAAAAATTTCAGTGATGTTCAGAAAACCGTCCACTTTGACATTTATGTGTTTGGTTTTTGGTTAAGTGAAATAAAATTAAGTTTTGTGCTTTTGGAGGTGACAGAGAAGGCAAAGAATGTCCCTTGGGAGGGGCAGCCTGTGCTTTCCGCCACTCTTTTTTTTTCCTTGTTGTTGTTTTTTTGAGACAGAGTCTGGCTCTGTCACCCGGGCTAGAGTGCCGTGCCATCAGCCTAGCTCACAGCAACCTCAAACTCCTGGACTGAAGCGATCCTCCGACCTCGGCCTCCGGAGTAGCTGGGACTGCAGGCGCCACCACGCCCCGCCACTTTCTGCGACTCTGTGTTCCGGGCTGAATACCGGACGCAGCTTCTTGCTGGGAGTGGGGCACTGGCGAGGGCAGGTTGTGGCCGTCCCAGGTGTCCCCTGCCCATGGCTGCTCTGGGCTTCCCATTTCTGTCCCCTCCCCTTGCCCCTGTCGCCACAGGTCCCCAGAGGAGTGCCGTTGGCCTCCCTGGGCAGCCGGGGAGCTTCGCTGAGGGCCCAGGACCTGGGCTTATTCTCCCCAAGTCACCCCGAATCCTCGCCCACTCTCTGGCCTGTGGCCTCCCTGGGGTTTAAAGCCCCAGCCTCTGTGCCCGTCCTACTCACACACCTGCCAGGGCTCCCCAGTACCCTCCATTCCTGGAACTGATTTTCAGGGGTTCCAGCGGTGTGGCCAAGATGGACCCAGCAGAATAAATAAACGAATGAATAATGGTGCCAATGACTGAGGTCTCGCGCACAACCCGAGCCCAGTCCGGTACACAGATCGACTCCCGGACCCCAGAGCCACGCAGTGCGGGGGTCTTCAGTCCCCGGGGCCCCATCTGGGCAGCCCACTCTCCAGGCTCCCAGCTCTGGCCGCCCCCACGAGGAGGAGCCATTTCCTGCCTGCGTCTGGGTTCACGCCAGGGTGCCGGAGGCCCGGCTCTGCCAGGCTCGCGGCTCGGGGTCCTTCGCGGGGGCGCTGGGGCTGCAGGTTGGGGCGACCCCTGGTGGCCGATAGCGGAACAGAGCGGCCAGAACCCTCTTCTCCCGGAACCTCAGTTCCTTCTAGGTGGGGTCTCCAAACGGGCCCCGTCCCGGTGAAGGCCCTGATCGGGCGCCTCAGGACCCCAGGTGGGGGGGCGGAAATGAGCAGGACGGACCGGAGAGGGGTGCGTGTCAGAGTTTCAAGGACTTCCGCTCCGCTCCCTACACAAGCCTCTTATGATGTTTTAAAAACAAATTTTAATATTTAATTTTTAAATGACAATACACGTGCATGATTTTTAAAATGCAAACTTTACAAAAAGGTACAGAGAGAAACGTGCGACTGCAGCCCCTGCCAACCCCTAGCGCCCTGGTTGCCTCCCCAGAGGCCACGGCTGTGAGCAGTGTCTCCCTCAGAGATATTTGGATAAAAATCCCCTCGCACCTCACCCTACATTTCAAAAAATGGACAGAGATTATCATTCTCCTGCTTTTTACATTAATGTATCCCAGAGAAAACCCACTTCGGTTGTATAGTAATCCACTGCGTGGCTTGACAGACACTGACTTATTCAAACAGTCCCCAATCGATGGACATTGATGTTGCTTCCATTAAGAAATTAACCGTAGTTTATTTACTGTTAACTAAACTCTAGACTTTATTTGATTTCTCCAGTTTTTCCACTATGTGTTTTTCTGTTCCAGGATCCCACCCATCAACGAGTTGGGCCTTTAGCCCATCAATGTGTAGAAATGTAAATATGATTGTAGAAAAATTCCTACAAGATGGAATCGATGAGTCAAAGTGTTTATACACTTTTAATATTAGGGATTCTAGAAAATTGCCCTCCCAAGTGGTTCACCAATGAGCAGCCTCACCAGCACTTTGTGGGATTGTTTGTTTCTCCACAGCAGAGCCAACAGTATATTTGCAAACTTTTTATTTTTTGGATTTTGTTTTTGTTATTACCTTTGCCAAAAGAATGGGTAGAAAGTGGGATATCACACTGTTTTCACCTTATATTTCTTTTCCAGGAGTAAGTTTGAACACAAATTTTTTTTTCTTTGAGACAGAGTCTCTGTGTTGCCCGGGCTGGAGTGCCATGGCATCAGCCTAGCTCACAGCAACCTCACACTCCTGGGCTCAAGAGATCCTCCTGCCTCAGCCTCCCGAGTAGCTGGGACTATGGGCATACAACACAACGCCTGGCTAATTTTTCTATTTTTAGTAGAGACAGGGGTTTCACTCTTTCTCAGGCTGGTCTCGAACTCCTAAGCTCAAGTGATCCTCACACCCTGGCCTACCAGAGTGCTAGGATTACAGGCGTGAGCCACAGAGCACAAATTTTTAATGTTTCTGTGACTTGGCTGTTCATGTTCTTT